TTTTAGTATTCCGGGTTTTAGAGATTCCCCATTTTAGGTCACAGAAGGTGGTGGTGGACGCTGGATGGGCATCATAATCTTCTTGGGAAAGAGGTTTATTAAACATAGAAAAGAAGAAGTTGTTTAAGAGATTTGCAACGTCTTCAGGATTTTCAGCTATGACAGTTCCTTCATCACGCTTCCAACTCATTTTGTTTGGTACACTAAATGAATTTGATGTAAATTTGAACAACGACCAGAATCGTTTTGTGTTTGATTTCATAAGAACAGGCAAAGACTGAAAGACTTTTGTAATAGCTTAGCTTATATAAGCATGTTTATGTACTTTATCAAATATATTTTTATATAACTTGAAATAACAACACCCACCATGCAAAATAACAAAGATAGTATTTTTACCAAAGAAGGAATTCTCACCTATCCCACAACGCAACAGTCTGAAATATATCATCAATGCGTGCGGCATGTAAAATTAGTTTGCCCCCGACTGTTATGGAGGTCAGAGAGGTTGTTCCGGATGTGTTTGCTGAGAATAATTATTTGTATTTGCACTGTTTCAATCTTCGCACAGAGAAAGTTATCAATCCAAATACTTTGCCTTGTGTTGAAATATAGACAGTGTTGGGGCACATTAGTTTTCCAGCAACGGTAGGCGAACGACGCGTTGTATTGTTGGTTCAAAGTGAAGAGAATGTTGGCAAAATAAGAGGACATAAATTGCCTGTCGTTATTAAAGTAACATCCAGCTGTATTTACAAGGTAAGGTTATTAAACTATACTACCTCCTTAATTTAATACTCAGTTAAACAGAAATTATATGTGTTTGTGTTTAGATTGATGATGACGGGCCAGACAAAGATTATGAAATTATGATAATTTTCAAGTTCAATGTTCTTGTGAATAGTTCAATTATTTAGTCTTTATCAATTAGCGTTTAGTCTTTATCAATGCTAATTGATAAAGACTAAATAATGCTTTGTTGACGCTATAATACGCTATTATGACTCTTTTATCCAGTGTCTTATTATGGCTCTTTTGTTGACTCTATGTTACGCTTATATGACTCTATTATGACTCTTTTGTCTTTTAGTCTAATTATTCAAAAAACCTAATATTTTAGTTAGGTCATTGACATGTAAATAGTATTTAAGCGACTAATCATTTTTGCCATTTTAATCCTGACGATGGACGCTTAGTCCGAAAGCTTGATTTATATTTTACGTTTTTTAAACTGTAAATAAAGATTTTTACCAGTGCAACATACTACCACTACAATGAAACGTCCTGGTAACATAACCACACTAAATTATGTCTCACATATTACAGTCACCAAGCGAAGAAAGTGGTTAGAAGATGAAAAACATAAATACAACATTTGAAAATTTAATTGCAGTTAAAAACTACCATATACTTTTGTACTTCACTTTAAAATTGTTAATATTATGTTTAAATATCTAATTATATTTTTATTTAATATATATATATACATAGTTTTGATACCTCAAAAGGTGTAAATTTCAACTAATGTCCATTAGGTGCAATGAGAAAGCCAAAAAATTATGCACCCCATCTGGCATTAGACAAAGCAAAATTCCAAATCAGGGTGCATTTCAGCCTAATAGAAGGCATATGATAATAATAACCCCATTAATAATAACCCCATTAATAATAACCATTAATAATAACAATTACACATAACCCATTAGTAATGGGAGGCATAATCCATTAATAGCCAACACTTATTGACCACAAGATGCAAATTTACCCATATACCTCTCAGGCATGTTAATGCCTGGGTCTGCCCACGTTTGGATGATATCTTGCGCGCGTGTTGCACGTGCGATCTGTCAGTAATGCGTCTGTTAGAATATTCGCCCCTTGTGTGAGTATTTTAGTGAATTCGGGCGTTTGCTTCAAATCAAAATATAGTATATATGAGCGACAGGATTATTTTGGTATATACAATGCAAAGAAGTCGGTATGCTATTCAGTTTTGATGTAATAATTGGCTCTTTGTATAGCAATAAGTATTGTATCATTTGCGACATTTGAACTGCTGATAAATAAAAGCTATCTTGCGATTATTCAGTATTAATTGTTGACTGTTTCTTATTTTCAATGAAAAATAGCTTGTGAATTACAAATTAATTGCACATATAGTTCACTCGATCTTTTCCACCATGGCATACTTCCCTTCAAGCATTAACTATGCTTCAAGATATCGGCTTGAATGCGCAATGAATGTTGTTATTGGAAATATAATATCCCTTACAATAAGCGGCAGACTGTTTCATTATGGCGCGTGAAATTCATCACGCGAAAAATGTGTTCGACTTGCAGCAGGGTAATTTGACGAAATTTTGCTATGTTTGTTAGCTAAAAACATTAACAAGGGAACAAAGTTTCCTGCATTAATTTGGAAACCATACATTTATTTGTAGATAACATTTAATGACGCGATTAACATTCGTTTGATGCCGATCATCGTTATATAGCCGCATAAAATAATGAAACGAAGCCTAAATGTAAACTTTCCAAATTTATTCAATAAACAGTGATATTATGTGTGAATGATTATCGCAATTCTGCGTCCTCTCAGTCACGAAATATACTGCTGCAGAGCCTCTGAATAAAAAGTATCATTTTTTGTGTTGTTTTTCCAAATATACATCACGTGATCGTTGCCATGACAACGAAAAGTAGGTCAACTCTTAGAATCTCCTTTGATAAATCATATAAAACTTGAATGGTAATAATCAAGGCCATACTTATTTTTTTATGATTTTTTGTTTATTTTCGCTAAATACACAAACTGAGACCCAGGCATTAATGTACCTGAGCTTACATTGGCATCACCTTAGTATGTGCTCAACTGGTTAGAGTGATACAGCCAGATAGCCTATAGTTGCATTTTTTGCAACTGCTTCTCTCCTGGTTGGGTCTAAAATATCCACTTGAAATTTCCATCTACAAAAGTCCTTCTACAGATATACAATGGGCTCAAGTACATGTTAGAACAGATTTGAATTTTATTTTATGTGCATCCTAATAAGCATTCTTAGCCTAAATACTGTGACCGACATTGAACAGAATTTTAGAACCAAAACAAGGGCATGAAAATTATTAAGATGCACATTCAAGAATATAATTTAAAACCTTCTTAAGTATGAATGTGTCCATGCAAGTAGATTTCTTCTAATGACAAAGTCATAAACCCATTTAGCCATTTGGCACCAATAGAACTCGAAAATGCTTATCGGATTGAGATATGGGAGAACTTCGTGTACATCCTCAATCATATAAACAAGTAAGATTTAAGCCTGTTAATTAAGTAACAAGAAATTTGAGCTCAATTGATAAATTGAAATGGGGATTAACAGAGAGGGAGCTTAATACATTTCTTCCTCTAAAAGAGGCTTATTAAGTTTTGTCTTCAAATGCCAGGTGCATTGGCACTGGAGGCAAACCCATCTCAGGCTTGTGGAGACACTGTCTTATACTCGCATTGTTTCTCACAGGTAACATTGCCCTTCCAGGCACCATGATGGAATTATCCTCACATTGATGAAGACGTAGAGGGTGGTGTTGTACATCATCATCATTTTCCCTTTTATCTTCTGGCATTAAATCAAATGATGGCATCTCCTCATCACGGAGCCTTTCATTTAGTGTGAAATAATAGAATGGGAGGTCTGAGAAGATAATAATTGTGTCAATTAGACACACTACAGTAAATCATTTACATAAACTTAATGATACAGATCCAAAAATAATTTTTTACTGAACAATTTGTGGCCACAATTCCTTAAATTGTTTGAGGGGTGTACACATTGCCAACATATCAATGTGTTAAGCCAAAAAATGTCTCCAGGTCATCAGTGCCCCCTGCACGTGGATGTTCTGCATAGCCAATAACTTCATTTTGACACCTTCTCATCTCCTGACTTTCAATGTCTGTTGTGACTTCTATCACTGTTTCATGTAAGAATCCACAGATGTTGTCTGCTGGTTAGGGGACATTTTAAGGGATACAGGGATTTAATAGGGATATAATGCCTGGATATAATGTGTGGGAAAACGAGACCTATATAGGCTTACGGCGAGTTTTTCCACGTTATTCGAGTTCTCCCAAACTACTACAAGTGTTTCTATAACTGTATGGGTCATACATAATAAATGCTTTATATTTATTTCTTAATATAACTAAACAAAGATTTGTAGTAGACTCGATACATTTACAAATTCTCATTGCGTAATAATCGATATTTGCCGATAAAGCGGTATTAAATCACTACAGAAAAAATAGAACAAATTTAATACAGAAATACAAAACAAGCCAGAAGTGGAAGTGGGAAGGTTTTTGTATTTTGACTGTATTAAACAATTCTTAATTGTTTTGTTTACGATTGTAAGTTTAGGCGGGAAATTTCCTGCATAGAAACACGCTTCTCGACCAATCAACGCACGTGTACTATAAATGTTCTATTTTATCATAATTTATGCATTTGGTACGGCTCATGTAAAGCACGGCAGTACAAATCAACATGTGCTTCAGCCGTGTAGCACGCCTGAACCAGGCGAACTTATTAATTTAGCCGTGCTTAATATTAAGTGCAGTGCTTAATTGATTTAGACGCCGTGCTTCTCATGTGCTTAATTCATTGTATTAAGTTCGGCTCATGAAAAGCACGGCGTCTAAACCGGGCCTAAGACATGTGCTAGTATACAATTAATTAAGGTTCATGAGTTCAATGGTAAGAATATATTCATGAGGTGAAAGATTTCCATTTAACGAGGCAAATCCGAATTGAATGGAACAGTCCACTTTTTACCCACTGAAAATATTCTTTCCATTGCACTAATGAAATCATCTACTATTTGTTTTATATATGACACAGAAAACACAATAAATTATTGTTATTTATTGAATACGACTTTCAAAAACTGCAGTAGCACGCAATTCATTTGTGGGACTGTTTTCGGGAGACACTTTGCAAATATTTTCAGTGTTTCAAGGCGAACTTGGAAAGTGTAATATCATATTTAAGTATGCTTAAAATAATACATTTATTTGCCCTGTAACAGAATGTCACACAACTACACAGTACACACACACAGCTTCTACTTCCCAGGCCCTGTAGTTTTTGAAAAGTGGCTAATTGGAACAGTACCTTGCACGGTCCGTAAAATGGAAATTTTTATTTAATATGTGTCATAAATAGTCAATTAAATTACGATAATTTAATTCGGTGTTATATGACTTTAAATAAGTACAGCAATCAGTTATTCTTAATCTGATAACGCATGTCTGTCATAGAACAAGTGCATATTAATAATCCATGTACATGTATCTGAATGAAGAATATGACATACAGTAGCTCCATCATGGTTAAAAAGCAACCACATATATTGCTTTTAAGGGAAACATTTCTTTAACTCATTCTCATCCGGTCAAAAAGTAGCAATTTCGAGTGGTGTTGTTTTAAACGCATATATCTTTCAAACTATACATCGTACGAAAACAGAAATTGCATCGTTCGAAAGAGGAGGACTTCCGCTTTCCAACGATACCAATTTCAATTTCATCCGGAGCTTGGTTAACGATTTACTTGCATAAATTTGCATAAATTATGATATAAAAAAATGTTGCAATTATGCATAAATGTATCTACCGGTTCAAATTTCAAATATGTCAAAAATTTTATGAATGTAACTGAAAGACACGGTTGTGGTCTACAAGTACCTGAAGTTTCATGCATGTAGCATAAATAGAAATATTTTTATTGAATTTTTGAATAAACTATGTAGTTGAGTGAAATTTACATTTTGTTCTCACATGAAACAAAATACCCTTATCAAAGGTCTTTTTTTATTGCTGCAACATACTGTCAATACAAATTTCTAATATTTCTTACACTCCAAGGATAGTATGGCACCGAAATAAGTCTGTGATACCCACAAAAGAACACTCAAATCACTATTTGCAAAATGTCTTTATTTCTACGGTTACTATATACATTCTTAGATAATCAGTACACCATTAACTTATAGTTATCTGTGCCATAACCAGCCTGAAAATTTGGTCATGCTAATCAAATTTTAAATAATCATTACTCATTTCTTTAGAAATTGATTGTTTTCACAATCTAGAACATGAAAATATTTGCATATAGCATGACCAAGTGTTGTTGGGCTGGCATCATCATTAGTAGTTATAAAAAAAGTAATATTTACCAAGGCAGTAATGTTTGCCAAGGCACACAATTGGATTATGTGGTGAAAATATTTCCTTTTTTGCACAAAATATATATTGGACAGCAAAAGACCTAAGATTGTAACCAAACTTATATCACATCACCACGTCATACCCAAATCCATCCTACAATGAATCTCTGGACTTGCTCCTGTATAAATCTCAAAGTCACAATATAACCATTAGGACTGTCTCCAGTAACTCACAGATTTATCTCCCACATAGGCCATCTTTCATGAACTGCCTAATCCTCAACCTATTCCTTGATTTGACAATGTGTTCGTCAACAGCAATTTTCTGTGATGGCTGGTACAGTTGTTGTAGTTTATTGCTGTAGTCTTCGGTGACAGGATCTACCATATTCAGAAACTTTGCTTTACAGCGCTTTGTACCTAAACCGAAAAATTATTTCTATTGTCCACAGACCATGATATAAGGTTTTTACATTCCAATAATTTTCAATCTCACTGTCGACCTTTACCAAACCTGCATATACTAAAAATAGGCGCGCTAAGCGTGCATGTGGCTACCGCTTTTAGTGCTGCGTAATAGACGATCCCTGTATTTATTCTGTATTATGATCATGAATATAACTATCAGAATACTTTTATATTTTTTATATGTAAGTTCAAGATAGCTTTAAATTTCTCAGTTCTCTTGACCGCTCCAGAAGTTGAGTGTAACACGTGTTACACTCTAAACTTTCGTTCCTTTGTGGTGTTCATGTAATTAACACTTGTTACGCTCAGTCAGACTGCTGGCAGCGATCTGCGCAAACTTTCGTTTCAGTATCGTGTATCCTTGTTCCGTTTTGCTCATACGTTCTGCGCAGGCTTACATTCCAATGGTCAGGAACCGACCGTTGGAATGTTATTAATATTTTGTATATTTTGAACTTTCTTGAATTGAATCTCTAATCTGCATTCATTTACAAGCATAGCGAACCAGAAAATGTTAAAAATTTAGTATAATATACATCTAATCATATTTTACAACTGTAGCACTGAGTTCAAAATGTAAATAAAGCGTTTGTTTACATTACGGACTTGACAGCCTCTTTAAGTAACACCTAAAACAAAGAACAAACGGTTAAAACAAAGATGAAAAATTTTCATTTCCCGCCAATATAGTACTGCTGCTGTACAGTCCGGTCTGAGCAAGCACACATAGGAGTCTCCTGCCGTGATATAAACACTTTCATTTGGTTTTTATTTCATTTTGTGTTCTTGAAAGCTTGATTGTTGTATCTAGATCATTTATATACTGTAGAAGCATAAAAATAATAAATATAATAAATAAATAAATAAAATATAAATAGTTGTCGAATAAAGTTCAATACAGTATTTTGAATACCGAAATGTAAACAAAGGCTTTGTTACATCCGGTAACGGACTGTACCCTGGGCTTTTAGACTTTTTAAACACTGATTAGTCCGGAAATCATGTTTGTATTTCGCTACTAGAATGTTAAACGTACTTTTACGGATTTGACTGAAACTGTACGTGTTGAATTGTACACAACTATTTTTAAATAGTTGCTATTTAATAGTTTTAAATGTACAATAACATGTAACAATATAAATAAATATTAAACGAAATGAAATGCCATAAATTTGAACCCAAACCTCGACCCAAACTGTATAAACCTTTCCTATACGAAGATTAAAGTCTGATTTCATGTAACAATTTAATTTGAGTCGTAATAATTCTATCGCGGAACAAATTCGCAGTACAATAAATCTATTTGAGTTTGGTATATAAATATGCAGACAGCGACGGCGAAAAGCTCAAGGTCAAAACTGAAGTGCAAAATCGCCGAAAAGTAAGATAAAAGCGATAAGTTTCGATTTAGTTGTGCCTATTTAAAGTTTTGCATGGAATTAAAATACATGGGAGACTTACAGCAAAAGAGGAGGCACATAGCTAGTTTAAAGTCTTGAAGAGGAAAGGAAGACAGTTGACATACAACTGTATAAAGTTCTAGAAACGTATTGTTTGTAGAGACACGAGAGCACACGTGATGTGAGAAACACATGAAAAAGTTTACATTACTTACGTTAGAATTTTCCGTTTTCTCAACTTTTTTGTATCGTTTAAATATACTACTTTAATTTATACCGAATATTAGCCTTTAAATCCCAACTATCTTACAGTTTGGCTTGCCACGTTTCATTTTTAAAAATATAGTAACTTATATACAACATGTATTTATAACATACAGTATTTATGAGTGAAACATTTCGACTTTAAAATTTAACTATATTTCTTACCTTCTATATCACGATAATACCAAAGACCTCTTCAGAAACCAGTTAGAAACCGAAATAGGATCCAGTTGAAAACGTAAAGATACAAATATAAACACAGCATCTTTAGTCGCGAGCACTTGCCGATATCGGCCGACGGTTGCCGACCGTGACGTAAATGCAGTCCAAACCCCTCAAGCACTTGCTGACTATATGGCTACCGCTATGTGGTAGCCACAAAAAGGCAATCAACCTCTCAATCTCCTCAAGGTTGGTGGACTTCAAGACCCTTCTTTATTAGTATATGGGGATGATCTTTGGGTTATTTGTATGTGGGCATATTGAACACTTGGTCTATTATGTATGTAACAAACAACCCAACATGTGCTCAAGGCTCATTTTACTTTGCCTAGGAATCAGAGTTTTTATGCCTAAAACACCATAAATTTTCGACAATAATATAAATAAATACCATTTATATTTGTCAATGTCTGTATGGAAGGATTGTTTCAACACAAAAATGCGATATGAGGACTTATATCACACTTGCGTCGGTTTTCTTTGTTCGTCCGAGGTTTATAACTAGCTTATAGACCTTGAATAAATGATTAGATTAAACTTGTAGACAAAACGCAAGAATTTTTCATTAAAAATTTTTGAAAATGACAAAATATGTTGGAAAACCTCCGCAAGTGTGATATAAGTTAGTTATAAACCGAGTAAGTCGGTTTATAACTGATATATTGCCCCTCGGACGCTACGCGTCCTCGGGTCAATATATCAGTTATAAACCTCCTACTCGGTTTATAACTCTTACATACTTGGTCGTTCTAGTGAAGCTATACTAAATGCAAATCAATTTACAATGCCATGGCAACAGCAAAACATTGAAATGGAATGTCCAAAAATGATCAAAATACTTGCCTTGAAACTCCAGACACGACTCCCAAATATTCCAGGTTGAGATACTTGTCTTTGTACGAAGACATTCCGTCATTACTAGCACTATCAGTTTGCAAAATAAGGCCAAGAACGTCTTGAGGATACGATTCAAACAATACAATTACAACACAATACATTACAACACATGCGCGATAATCAGGAAAATTGCTGTAAAAGGTTTGTTTTTCTGCTTAAGCCAATCAAAATCCGTATCTAGGGTAAACAAACACTCCGGAAGTGATTTCTGCAGTCTTTTACTAGGAAACTGTAATGCGTTACCAAGAATTTGGCGTCCGAAGTTGGCCGAACACTTTCCGAGCACGAGAATTGCCATAATAGGCATAGATTATTTTGCAATTTCCCGAGACTGCTCCGAGCTATAGAATACAAGATGGCGATTCTTTTGGTGCATTTGTCTTTATTATACATTGAAAAGAAGCAAAGATACAGGCATTTGAATCGGGTGGAACAGTCAAAATGCAACAGCAAAATTGGTAATGCGTCATTTGCATAAATTTCACTGCATTGATCATTTCAAGGTAAGAAATTCGCTTGAAATTGAGCGAGAAACAATAAAATTATGCGAATATTTCGGAATATATAGTATCGATCAAGCAGAATTTTTTTTGTGATATTTTCATATTTCTACTGCAAATACTCGCGGAGTTCTTTTATATTTAATCTTCCCGTCATATATGTTGGAAATGAATATTGGCGGATTGAATTGAGTTAAACAGAGAAATAGTCAAATAGAAAAATTTAAAAACACTTGAAATAATGTTAAAGTTAAATGTTTGCTAAATTATCAAACACACCATTAGGTTGAGAAGGCCTGCTTGGTGTTATATTGGCCTGGCTGGGCATACCGAACACTTCTGGCATCATTTGATCGCTAATATGCCTGCAAAGATAAACACTACATATTAGGCAAATAATATACAGTACAGTAAATGCAGTGAAGTTCTACAGTATCATTGCAAATTAACCATTCTATTTGGTGCGAAATATTTTAAAACACCCCCTATTACACCTCTATAATTATGTCATTACATTTTGCATGGGGGAGCCTTGCTATGATGAATTCTGAGCCAATAACCGCTCTCATTAATAAAGACATATATATGTAATTATTGAAAGTATGCATTGCATACCACCTACAGTAATTAACCCTCTATGTCACATTGTTATCGCCATGCAAACATACAAAGATGTACAGTACCATCCAACGGAAACTATACATCGAGTATCGAGCACGTTCGAGCGAGAAACATTCAAGCGAGTATCAAGCGGTCTCGCTTCTCGAATCGTGTTACCTATCGAGTTTCACGAAGCACGATTCGAGTCGTCGCGATGCGAATTGAAGAAATTTTTGAGTATCAAGTATTCGTGAAGTGCATGATTTAAATGCGTTATTAAGAACTGCGATGTCACTATGGCAGGTTTAATTGTATTTATTTCAGAACCATCTTCAGTGTTCCGTTTATATACTGTAAGAGTAAATGTCGTGTGAACGATTTAAAACAGCAGTTTGCCGTCCTTTACATACCTTTTATTGTTTTAAGTTTTTAATTGGCGAGTTTGTATATATTAACATTTACAACAACAAAGCGCAAAGATGAGGACTCTGTCTCTGACGAGATTTGCGATAGATTTATCAACAGGAAATAAAACAGAAATATTTTATATAAGAATGACATACCTATAGTACGCCAGAGACAAAGAAGGCTATTTGCTAGCTGTCGGACATGCCAATGCTTGTACTTCTTTCTTTTAAACCGCTACCAGTCTTCTCATCCCATTGATTAAACAGCAAATTAAAATATACGCATACCATAACGGCATAGTTTCTCTCATTTCACATGTTTCCCACAGCCCACCAACAGGAACAAACAAACAAATATTTTATCCGGTCGATTTGCATTTCAAAACCGTGTCAAATAACTGGCATGCAAATGGCAAAAATGTAACACTTGCTTTACTGTATGTGACAATAATATTGTAGTAGCTACTTCTCTGTTAATACTAAAAAAACATGTCTTCATTTCGGACAAGGCGCATATTTTGATCGGGTGTAAAACAGCATGTGTCATATTTTAGTTTTATGTAGTTGATATTGTCATACTTTATTTTTGTTGTCATTCTATTACAAAGGTTTGTTTATAAATTATCTGACTTTGAAATATTGAAAGAATTACCGCGATTCATGCCATTTTCGAATTTAAACGCTTCGCTAAGCCTAAGGTGAAACTGTGAATAATTTATGTACAGACAGTGCTGCGAGACATCTACTTATAAAACGTAAAAGCAAGACAGCGTCTTAAATCCATATCTTGTGCCCCAATCATTTGGAAAAAACAAGGTAAGACTTCCATATGCCAAGATGTATGTTGAATAACTAGCCTTTATGTTTTTCGCTACCATGAAGTTTTTGCTCATAAGCGATTTATCAATGATATTCGCGAAGCGCGTTTCGCGATTACACGAAAGCAGTAAACAAATTATTCGAGCGAGTCATTATGCGTAACGAGCGAGAGGTCGCGATAGCGCCCCTCGCAAGGTTACGCGTCGCGTTTCTCACTCGAACATTCTCGAAACTCGCTCGAAAAAAATGAGGGAAAACATCTTAGTTGGCACAATGCTAAGCCCTAGGTAAACATTAACAATGTCAAATCTTGCATCCAAAGAATTGAAAAGATGGTCATTCTTTTGTAATACTCAGAGATAGTCTTATATGGATAATTTGCTCTGGTTGTTTGTCTTCCAACTGTCCTTGGTTTAGATTCTTCAAGACCAACCTTTTTAGCTAATGCCAAAGCAATTTCATACCATTGATCGTGATATATATAAATAGAATTCCTTACATTAACAACACTAGTCTTCAAAGAAGAGACCAATACCTTCCATTACGTCAATACTCTTGCCTTGCAAAAGCTGTGTTGCGGGAAGAGTTGTGTAAAAAATATTTCTGGTAATAACCATAATTGCAACAAACTCAAAATCAGAAATAAGTGAAAGCAAATCGGATGCCTCAGTACGAAGAGAAAGATTGTATTTTCCATTTGTCATATCATCAAGCAAGTTGAAAACAGGAATGAACAGATCTTCAAAAGTGCTCAGACCCTTAATATGTTCAACCCATCTAGTTCGACAAACATCTGGCAGTCTAGTTTTTTTTTAGTCAGTTTCAGAACTATTATGAACAGTCTCCTCAAAAGGCATATTACGAGTATATTACGAGTTTGAGAAATATTTATAAAATTAGTCACTTCTTTCACATGCTTGAGCATTTTCTTGACCTCAATAATTGACAAACTATCACAAATTGACAAATTTAGCCTGTGGCTATAGCAGTGAGTGTAAAGAACTTTGGTATTAAGTCTTAAGATATGAGCAGCGAAACCTTTTACACAACCAGCAACAGAAACAGCACCATCATACCCGCCTGTCCTCGACAATCCTCAATCAGCAAATCAAGGTCATTGAGAGCATCCAATAAAAGTTTGGCAAGATTCTCTTCACTTAATCCCCACTTACACTGAAGGAAAGCAATAAACTCCTCTCTAATATCCATATTTTATCAACAAAATGCAAAACAAGGGCCATTTGCTCTTTGTGTGATGAATCTGCATGCAGCCTCATCAGCAATAATAGTGAAGAACTTACTTTCCTTAATATCGCTTACAATCTGTTCGGAGATAACCTGAGGTTTTTCTGCTACATTAAAAAAGTTAGAAATGTTACCAGAAGGAATTTTCAAAGCTTTTTTAGAGGAATAAGAAGATACCTTTTGTTTCTTGGCTGCTGTTGATGCCTGTGAACTAGCAACAAATTTTCGTTTTTGCAGCCGTGCAATTCCCTGAAGCTTCTTATCTAAGAAAATAGACAAAATATTAAATTAAATTTAGATTTAAATTGCTTAATTTCAACCTAAATTAACACAATAACATGCAATATATTGAATATAACATTAAATATTTATGATAACATTATAACAAATCATACTATAATAAGTTATATTTTATACACTTTGATCACAACTCTCAGTTTATAACTAAATTATAAGAGATCTTTCTCCTACAATGCCAATTAGCAAAATGGCTAGTTTAATTTACTAATTGATGCCATATAACTGTTTATAAGTCTAACTAACTCATGATGGTACTACACAAATAGCCTTGTTACTAGTCAATGTTTCAATGACTCAACAGTCAATCACTACAGTGTCATATTACTCAAATAGACATATACTAAAATTAAAAATATAATTCATTGATAAAAGATAAAACCTGACTTTTATATCCTGTATATACTACATTTATATCAGTTATCCTCAATATTAATAGCCTTTTGAGTTATGATGGTCCTTCAACCGCAAAAATATGTAAATTTGTTGTGTAAATTATAGCTATAAAGTCTTAATCCAGATAGTCGGAGATACACGTATTTTAGGTATTTACATATACATGGCACGCTTTTGTTCGCTTATAAATATTTTTATAAATTTACCTTATGACATGACTTGTCCTTTCGATCTCGCACTCTCTTTGTAATATAGATTTCGGCGCCAATATTACGACTCAAACTGTAGAGTGTGCTGCTCATGGCATCTAACAACTGCTCAAGCGAACTCTCGGATATAGTGTCGATATTTTTCCATAAATCAGCCCAACAATCTTGTAAGACGGCTAAATCGTTCACTGCAAATGCGGATTTAACCGGTTTCGTAAATACTACAAGGAGTAGCAGACATTTCTTAAATCTTTTGAGTGTAGTTTCGACAAAGCTCCAATGTAATACTTCGAATGAGCGAGTGCTCATAAAGACCTTATATAGCACGTGTGAAATATTAATGATGATGATGACTAATGGGCACCCCCTGACTTTGATATATCGGTCAGAACTCCCCACAGATCAGTCAAAATCGGGAAAAATTGCTTGTTTCCATGGAAGTAAGCGTTTAGACCAATCAGAACACTGGATTTTGACTTTGACTGATCAACTTTGCATATGTCAGCTGCTCATTGACTTGATTAAGCTCGTCAGCTCATAAACTGCATGAAATTTAACCACTGGAGTGACTACACTCACTGGCTGTTTATAAAGCTGGACTACACTCACTTCGATTGGAATATTAATTACCAGCACTGCATGATAATAGAGACTGGACTGCTATAAGGTACCGCTGCATGATAAAAGATAACTGGACTATTGTTCGAAGAATTAACACTTTGAGGTTTGCAATTTTTACGTTAGTCGTGTGACCGGTTTGACGACCCCTAGATCCGCCCCTGTGGGACACAAAGGTTGGCACTGGAGGCAGTAAAGGTGTCAAAACTGGTGTATTTTGCTCAGCAACAAAACTAAATCCTTCCTTCTTTGATCAATTACTCTCATTATTTTAATGGAATGAAAATAAAATGGACTAATTTAATCAAGCATTCCAAATCATGGTAAATCAAGGCATCAGAATTGGTAAATGTTGTGTTAAAAATTAGTGCTGTTGTGTTGAAAAGGTGTCCCAAAAATTAGTACTTTTATCCATCACCCTATGAATTGCTTGGTCAGGAAATGTATAGTAAATACAAATGCATCATTTAACTTTTAACACAAAATTAAACAATTGCAGTCATAATAAACTCATGAATATGAATTCTTAACACGAAAGGCTGTACATACATGTAATTCGTTTTGTTTTTCTGTGGCATTTACCGATTCATCACCAAATAATTAGACCCCTGAAATTAAATTTTCACTCCTTTTTGCATATGATTAACCCATTGAGTCGCATTGGGACCTGATTAGCCCTACTTTATTATTTTACTCTGTCTAATGCCAGATTATTTTACTATGGCTAACACCAGACAATTTACTCATCAATTTTACTCATGATCGTGCTGCCACTCAATGGATTAAAGGTGACCTGACACAAAATTTTTTATTGTCCCATCTGAAAGAATAGTGAATACTGTAAAGTAACTTAATCTTTTACAGATTTTCATTTACATTCTTCTTTGGTGAGAGAATTCAGTTTTGTTCTCATGCATATTGCAAACAAATTTACATCACAGTTTGCATAATGAGCTATCAAATATTTGATAATTTATGTATTTTTATCCAACATTGTCATTTGCAAAACTGCATATGCTTTACATTGTCCTCAGTATAACGCATATATGGATTTTCAAACGATTTAATCACAAGCCAAAAATGTGCAAAAGAAGTCGCTTTACAGTTTTGACGATTCTTTCAGATGGGGCAATAAAAAATTTCATGTCAGGTCACCTTTAAAGGCATTATAAATTGCATTTCAGACGTAACACCAGACAATTTACTCATCAATTTTACTCATGATCGTGCTGCCACTCAATGGATTAAAGGCATTATAAATTGCATTTCAGACTTAAGCATTGTCTGATGTAGGCATTGTGAATCCACATATGAACAGTGGGGAAAAAATAATGACACTAAAAACTTAAGTGAGCTAGCCGGTGTGAATAAAAACCATCTTCATTGGCTAACTCAGACCCAGGTTTGCTCATTGGTTTGTCCGGTTCCCTATAAACATCCCCAATCTCGATATTAACCCATTGAGCACCAGCACTCTCCCCTTGACAGCACTCTCACCTGGGGTTAGACAGAGTAAAATAATCTGGTGTTAGACAGAGTGAAATAATTATTTATTTATTTAGCTTTGCCAACTAGGGCAGGGTCACCACAACAGCATATGCCAATTACTGTGGGCCCTTTTTACCTAACTCACCCTGTTAACCGAGTCAATTCCGAGGCAAAGTCAAACGTCCGAGCCACATAAAAAAAGATGAAATTGGATAAAATTCACAATCGAATAGGGTTATGAGTTAAGTAGGGTTAGGGTACTAAGTCATTGAACCACACAGACCGCTAGTTGGGGGCATCGAGGTGCAATGAAACACAATGGGTTAATTAAAGCAATGATGTGTATGCAGTATGTGTATACTTTTTAGTATCCATGACATACTTTAACCATCCTTTTGCTATACTTGCTCTTTTTGACTGATTCATATTGAAAATATACAAAACAGTGTATTGCTGAAGTTATTTGGTCTTGAGGTACAGAAGCACATTGAATTTTGTTTTCAAAATATATGTAGGTCTTTGGCCAAGAAACAGAGGCCTTATTTCTATTGACCCCCAGCAACATGGCCAGCCCGACGATTTAGTCCCACTATATATGCAAATATTTTCATGCTCATTGACTGTGAAAACAGTCAATTTCTAAATAAATGAATGATAATAATTTTGAATTTGCATAGCAGGACTAACCCTATACTATTAAAGTTCACCGTTTAATGCAACAAATAAAGATCTAACCTTGGTGACGTTGATGAATACTTGTAGACTTTACAAATCGATATGTTTATATAAATATCCAATGACCAAGAAGAAACGAGCGCTGCCAACACGACATGGTGATATGCCTGATGGCGCACTGATGGTGTCAAACAAACAGACAGGCACCTTTTTACGTACAGATAGACACATTCACTTTTTAGATGTAACAGATACTATATATATATACTTACATTGAAGACGTCAGCAAAAGTTTTCCAATGAAATACACTGTAGCTTCGAAGGGAGTGCAGCAAACATGTGTTTATGTTAGCCAAGAACAATGGTGTAATATTTTTGCCTGAGGCATGCGCACCTTACGTATATGGTCAGAATTACCATATTTGGTTGAATTGCTAATAAGCTGTTTTAATACAACCCATCAGATGACCTCATAAGAATTTTGCAAGAGGCAGAAATAAACTTTCGTAGAGAGGTTAACAAATCAAAGGAAGTCCTCAGAAATATCCCAGTGGATGTGACTTGTTATAAAACTATTAGCATGCCCATTGTGAAATCATTGTGGGATAATATTGTGGTATCATCTGGAGTTAATCCATCTGGTGACACACTAAAGTTGTGTTTAGAAAACATTGTAAAACTTATTTTGAAAGTAAGATCATTCTCATATGCCAGAGATTATATTACTCAATACAAAATTAGAGAAAAACAAAGCAACTCTAAGGCATTGCGAAAGGATTTGAAGAACAGTGAATTAAGTTAAAATACACTTTGAGGCAGACAATTCAATACAACTTTTAGTTCCATGAACAAAATAACCACACAATAAGTGTCAATTTACCCTTCAAGTGGCAATGCACCCTACTTTATTATTTTACTCTGTCTAACACCAAATGATTTTACTCGTCAGGGGGAGTGTGCTGCCACTCAATGGGTTAAACCAAACTTATAAATCATGTCAAATTTTAATCTCATTTTTGTGAATATATGTTTGAAAACTACAAGTGTAAGCAATCTCATTGGGTCATTCCAGAAAGATCCCCCAAGGAAATTTATGAGAGGTGGTGGGAAAAAGTGTCATTTTCCATTGCTAAGCATGAAAGGAAACAGAAAAATGTGTTCACACACATTTGTAGAAGTAATGTGTTATGCAGGTCAGGACATTTTTGTTGCTTACAGTAGATTGGTGTATTATATTTTATTTAACAAATATAAAACATTTTCCGTGTTGATATGCAGTTATCAACACGAGTGGAAATTGGGAAAACGAGAAATTGTGTGGAAACACGATGCCTGAAGGGTGGAATGTTTTCACACAATTTTGAGTTTTCCCAATTTCCACATTATAATATAGCATAAAGAAATATAAAGAAATTTTCCAACGTTTTCCGTGTTGACATCGAGTTATATCAACATGGCTCTTAGCCAATCAGCATTCAGAATTTACAAATGCTATATTATAATTGTTGTTAGCAAGCCATTGTCGGGTGTGATAACTTGTATGTTTAGCCTATGGTTGATATTAGGATATTCAATGGGAGGGGGTGTTTTGGCTGGCACTTGCATTTACAAACTTTTTGAGTTTCAGTAAGGTACAATCCTGGAAAAAAATTAGTCGACTTCTTAAATTTTCAAACTTTGTCCCCCTTCCCCCTCATACAATGTTGGTATTTAGGTGACATGTGTTGCAAATCCACTTTACCAGAACCAACATTGTTTCGGGGGTAGGGGTAATTTAAAGTAAATAGTTGCTTTAATTGAAAAATGCTCACATTTTCATCATATGTTTCCAAATTTGGGTGTATTTTTCGAAAAGTCTACAAATATTTTTTCCAAGATTGTCTCTGAATTAAGCCAAACCCTTAACCTTTAAGGGACAGAAATTAAATTTTTTGGACATATAAAATTTTCTATTTTATTATGTTGTTATGAAAGTCAAGTGGCACATATTTGCTATTTTGCTATTTTATTACTTTATTCGCATGACCTATTTACAAGGTATTGCTAACGTTTTCAATAATATATTACATAAAATGTGATTAACAATATTAATAAGTTTTATATCTATTTTACTTTACTTTACAAAATAACAAATGTTGTAGGATCTCTGACTATTTATTTGCAATATCAAAGATTTGAATTATGAAATAATAATTATCATATATAAATATCAAATTTTAAGAAAGTTAACTACTTCGAATGTAACCTAGTTTCAAGGCATTCATCACGTTTCTTAAAACAACCGAAAAGAAATTTTGAGAAAATGTTGAGCAAATCGGGATTATTCGATGACAATATGTTTAGTAAGTCATCAGTTGTTTGGAAATTTATCGGTACATTAAAGTCATTTTGTAGAGTATTTGTTAAATCATTTCTTTGTTGTTCATAATATTTACATGAAGTGTGAAATGATATTCATCTTCTATTTCATTGGTGTCGCAGTACTCGCATAAACGTTGTTCACGGGGAGTTTTGTTGTATCGTCCGGATTCAATGTGTAGTTTATGGGAACTGGTTCGAAATTTACTTAGTAATCTTCTATGTGACGGGTTCTTTATAGAACTAAGCTATTCTTCTAGTTTAAATTCTGATTTGAAAGAGGATAGGAAAGATAATTTAGAGGAATTAATCAGTGTGTGTTTCCAAAATGTTGTGTATTTATTTTTGATATTATTAATATATCTGGTTAAATGATCTTGTGTGATGGGTTCTAATTCATTCAATTCAAAGGATGGGTCATAGGATTTAAGCATTTTCATTACATTTAGATAAAAACTTTGTTGATTATTCAAATATAGATTTTTGGATAGTAGAAATGCTTGTTTCACAATGACAGAATCTGGAAGTGTGTTGATATGTATAATATATTTAATTATTCTTTTATGAATATTTATCAATAGGGGGAATTTGCCTAATTCTCCTCTACATGCAACGTTAGTTGCTTTTTTATTAATACCTAGGTAGAGTTTGCAAAATTTTAAATGGGTTTTCTCTATTGGAGTTTGGTTCCATTTATGGAAATCTTTATTGATACAAGTGAATGCTCCCCATATTTCGGAATTATATAGAAGAATGGGTGATATTATGCTTTCAAAAATTTTAATTGCTAGTTTTGGTTTTAAATTGGAAAAGTCAACTTTTTTCTTTATAGCAAACAGAGCTTGTATTGCTTTGTCAGCTATAGTTTTCATTGCTAAAGTAAATTTTCCAGTAGGTGTAAGTTTTAGTCCTAGGTAGGTGTATTCTTGTGTTATTTGTAAAATTCTGTTTCCTATAGAAAAGACTGGTATTTGCTGTTTTTTAGTTGATTTTTGAAAAATCATTATTTTTGTTTTTTTCAAGTTTATTTCCATTAACCATTGTTCACACCAGCTGTTTAGCTGATCTAAACAGTTTTGAAGGCCTTGTTTTGATCTTGATAGTAAGATAAGATCATCTGCATATAATAAGCAGTTCAGTTTGGTTGTGTTAGGAAGCATGAGTGGGTCAGAGGCTAAATTATTGAATAATTGGGGCAAATCGTTTAGATAAATATTAAATAGTAGTGGGCTTAAAATACATCCTTGTCGAACGCCTCTGGAGTATGGAAAGAAAGGTGTTCTATGTTGCGATTGCTTAACGGCACACTGGGAGTTGGAGTAAAGATTTTTAATCAAATTGTAGAATTTCCCCCCAATTTTGTTACGCAGAAGTTTTAAAAGCATTCCATCATGCCAAACAGAGTCGAAAGCTTTTCTGAAATCAACAAAGCATGCATATATTTTCCCGTTAGTTGTTTGATTTACATACTTATCTATTAAAGATTTTAGGGTTAGTATATGATCGGCTGTTCTATGATTAGGTAGGAACCCAATTTGTGAAGGATGAAGAGTGTCATTTTCTTTGGTAAAAGTATGAAGTCTTTCGTTGAGTATTAAACAGAAAAATTTACCAAGACAACTTGTAATACATATACCTCGATAATTATTGCAGTTAAGACGATCGTCTGATTTGAAAATTGGAGTTATTAAACCTTCACACCACTGACTAGGAAAGTTTCCCGCTTCAAGTATAAGATTAAATAGTTTTATGAATCCTTGAAGCAAGACATGAGTACTACATTTAATCATTTCATTTTTTATGCGATCAGAGTAGGCAGATTTATTTTTCTTCAGTTTTTTTGCAGCATTTCTGATTTCTAAATCTGAAATAGGATGATCTAAGTTTGCATATTGGTTTTTGTTCAATTCTTCAATATTTAATGTTTTTGTGACATTGTGTTGCGACTCATTAAGACTATGTTTTGAATGCAATGTTTGGAAGTGAGATAACCATTGCTCTTCAGAGATTGTATTTGAAGTTGCATTGTTTGGCATTTCATCATCCATAGTTTTAAGTACTTTCCAAAAAGAGTTTGGATCATTTTCAGCTGTTTTTTCAAGTTCAATAATTTTTTGTTTGTGGAATTCTTCTTTTTTGAGTTTTAAAGTATTTTTGTAGATTTTTAATTCATGATGATATCTATTTCTAAGGTTTATGTTTATTGGATCTCTATGTTTTTGGTTAGCCAGTTTTCTCACGGCATGTCTTTTTATTCGACATTCTTTGTCAAACCATTTTTTGTTAGTTATATTTTTAATTTTGTATCTTTTCCTAACTTTCTTAATTTTAAGGCTTTTGTTTCCTGCATCTAGTAGAATGTCTTGAAATTCATTTACACAGTCATTAACTCCTGCATTATTTGTAGGGTAATTGTTATTTAGAAAATTTTGAAATTTCATTTGTATATCAGGCAATCTAAGACTTTCAGTAAAAGTTCTATCAGAAATATTTTCCCAGATAAATTGGGGTGGTAGTTTTTTTGAAAAATTGCTGTTAGGTGTGTCTTGAAGGATTTTATCTGCGTTATCCTTCATGTCTATCCAAAAGGTAATTTGGCTATGATCTGAGAAGTAATTTGGGGGTTTAACAACAAAAATTTAATGTACTTAAGTAAATTTATATCACATACGACATAGTCTATGGTACTAATACCATTCTTACTATGAAAAGTGGTTTTACCTAGGGAATCGCCTTTGGTTCTACCATTAAGAATTCGGAGATCACAATTTTTACATATTTCAAGAAGATGTTTTCCATGACTATTTACTGTATTATCAAAATTTTCTCTTTTGGTTTGGTATGAATCGTCTTGGACAAGGTTTTGTATATGTTTATTTCCGTCTGTTGAAATAAAGTCCTCAAGTTTACCTGTTCTTGCATTAAAGTCGCCAATCAGTATCACATCTCCTTTCCCAGAGAATGTGATAATTTCTTCTTCTAATTTATCAAATGTTTCGGAATCAAAGTATTTTGATGTTTCTGGTGGTATGTATATTCCACATAAGTAAAAATCATTTTCTGATTTTAGTATTTCTTTGGAGATTTTACACCAGAGAAAGTGTTTGGAATTTTTCAAAACTGTAACATATGCTTCAAATTTTGCATTAAATAACAAAGTTATGCCTCCAGATAAGCGACCACTATGATTTAATTTTGGAGGTATAACATTGGATATTGCCTTGAAACCAGGGACATATATAGTAGTATTGGACCAGGTTTCAGTTAAAAATATAAAATCATTTGTTTTTATTTGATTAATAAAATCTTCGTTTTTTGATTTATCACCAAGTACCTTACTGTGAAGGCCATTGATGTTCCACATACTTATGGAAATATTTGACCGCATTTTTACTGACAAAGAAAGAATGAAATAATTGTGATTTTAAGGAGTGCTTAAGAGGTGAATTTTTGGTTAATCCTAATTCTAATGTGCAAATTGAAGAAATTAAGCTAATATATACATTACTAGGTTTTAGCACACATACCCATGAAGTAGTTTAATTAGTTCAATGAAGTGCGATGGTATTTTGGAATGGTCATTGGTTAATCTTTCTGGTGTTGCTTTCTTCGGAACTGGGTGTGGTAGAGTATTCGGGGAGGGTTTCTGGTTTGAATAAGGTATATTGCTTGGTGTAGAAGGTAACTTGTGTTGGGATTTCAATGTATAAGGTGGGAAGGTAGGAGGTATACAGCCAGGGGGAGGTATGGGGCCAGGAGGAGGTATGGAACTAGGGGGTATGTGGCCAGGGTGTTGGAAGATAGGTGGAGGAAAGAGCACAGGATGAGGAATAAAGCCAGGAGGGATATTTCTTGGGGGAGATGTGGAACTGTGGGGTTGCATATGGTTAGGGGGAGGTATAAAAGCAAGGGGAGGTATAAATCCAGTAGGAGGTGTAAAACCAGGGGAAGATAGACCCTTTGAATGAGTTTTATGTTCATGAGGACGGAAATGGATATTTAGTTCGTGATTTGATGGTGTTAACATGTGCCCTTGGTTTGATTCTCGTGCATGTGTTTGTCTTGTTTTAGATGCTCTTGTTGTGCCATTTTTTGCATAGAAGTAGGCGGTCTTAAGATTCTTGGCAAAAACTCTAACGCCTATTTCATTTAAATGTTTCTTGTCATACAAGTGGTGGTAGGATGGAAAAATATCATTATGGGCGACAAAGTAGACGTTGGGTTTCTTTGAACATTCCTCTTTGATTTTCTTATTGATTTCATTTATACGATTATGGTGATCATCCATTCTTGGGAGAATTGAGGACAAGATAATTTTGCACTCTGGGTATTTCTTTGTAATTGTGTCTACAACATTTAACATGTCCGAATAAATTTTAGAATTTTCTTCCGATTTCTCCATGTCATTTGTTCCACAATGTAATATTATAGTTTTTGTTATAGCATATGTTAGTAGAAACAGACTCCTAAGACAATTTTCGGGGGGGGGGGGGCAAGACTTCCCATGGTACGATTATAGGAAATAGGCGTATATTACCGCCCACGGCTCGGGTTATCCTTGCAATTTCGTTGTATTTGGACACGATTATAAATGTTTTTATACTTTTGAATGTATAGTAAATTTAATATTAGCTTCAACTTAGAATCCTCTAGGTTTAACACCCTTTTCAAAATGTTTTACTTAGTATTTGCTCCGGAAAATAAGCGAATTTAATTTCATAAAATACACATAACTGCTTGATTTCTTGAGTTCTTTTGGTTAAATAAACTAAGAGATATTTCTGCTCAATTTATCGGTTGGTTGTGTCTTAAATTATGTTAGGAGTAATTTATTTTTAAGGTTTTCAGTTCTCTATGCACATTTTCAACGATTATATGTTAGAACAAATCTCAATCTTCACATGTTACATCATGTTACACTACATGTTACACTAAAATTACTATACTTTACTATAGTTCTTGACATGTTACTACATGTTACACCTATATTTTTGAAAGGAACTATAGATATTTTTAAACGTAGGTGTAACATGTTGTAACATGTCAGGATATATAATAAAATATAGAACTTTTAGTGTAACATGTACTGTAACATGTGGTGTAACATGTAATAATTTTACTCAGACTGTACATTTATTAAATAATAATAAGATATTCGTTAAGACAAGCACTAATTTTGAGACAATCACGGGTACATGCGTTATAAAAGCATATTGAAACCGTATTAAAACATACTTTGTAGGTACAATTCTGCACTATAAAATTTTAATGATCGACAAAATATGTGAAAAAATGTGACGGTCATAAAATATTGTACAATGTAATATCGTATATATGCCATATCTGTCGCTCTGATAGTTTTTTGTCATTAACTGCCATATTTTTTTGTCAATGCAGCCTTATTGGATAAATTAATCACAATTTTCCTTAAAACATGGGCACCTACATTAAGCCCCCCCCTTCTACCGACCCCCCTGGCTTTCAAAAAGTTTAATCAAACCCTGAATTATGTTCCTAATATAGAGTCCTTTTTAATTTGAAAATTATGTTTTGAAAAGGACTGAACAATTAACTTGGTAAAATGATTATCCGTTGTATTTTTTCAGACAATCCTGGAAAAAAATTAGTCGACGGGGGGGGGGGGGGGTAATTTAAAGTAAATAGTTGCTTTAATTGAAAAATGCTCACATTTTCATCAAGTTTCCAAATTTGGGTGTATTTTTCGAAAAGTCTACAAATATTTTTTCCAAGATTGTAGTCCTGAAACAGTAACAAGGGGAGCTTTCAATGTAGGGGAGGGAGGGGGGTGGTATCCGGTCGTTTCTCCCCCAAGTCGTTTTGCCCCCAAGTCGTTTTGCCCCCAAGTCGTTTCGCCCCCAAGTCGTTTCGCACCCAAGTGAGCTAGTGAATTATCTCATACAAACTAACAAGCTAGCCCAATATGTACAGTGTCTACCTTATGGAATGATAAACTATTTAAAAAGTTCATCTATGTGTAGTTTTATTAAATATGTATGGATAGACAATGGTCATATTGGGACTCATGAGGTTTCATGAATAATTGCTATTGTTCTGTTTTGTTTTCTATATATATTTTTCATATGGCTATGTAAAAAATACCAACAAGTCTAGAATATGCTCATTAGTGTAATCTACAAGGCGTCCCTAAAAATCCAATAAACATGCTAATTTCAAAGGTTTGAATTTTGGGGACACCCTGTATATCAATATATTGAGTATTGACTAACAAGTTATATAGACTCAATGTGGGTGCTAATATAAGTTATTATGGGCACTATGGAATATAGACCACTGAAAATTGCATCCTGACTGGCTAAGTGGGTATGACCATTACCTAATTGTTAGTTCCACATTTACTTCTTTTTCTTTCTCTTATGCACTGGTTCATCACTCACAGTGAACCACTTCTTCTTCTCATAGCGACCACCAACATTTCCTCTCACAATCGGTGCAATGTCTCACTGAATTCCTATCGTAAGATCATTATAACCAAACTCGTATGCACTTGGATTATCAGACCTGTGTCCTTTAGCCCGCTGATGTCCAAAATAGTCCTCAAGGACATCCTGCATAAACCGTTCACTTAGCACATACTCAAATCCATTTTCTAGCAGAAATTTGATGGCTTCAACATGGGAATAAACAGAAATCTTGAGGCCTTCGTATGTTTGTTGTGATAGAAACATTTTACCTCTCGCATCAGATGAGTAATTGCCTTCTCTCTCCAAAGTTGACTTCCTCCAATTCTCCAAGTACACAAGAAATACATTCAATAACCACTCAAATCTTTCATCATTGAGGGAAGTATAAGGCTTAATGAATTCATTTTTCTTGTGGATATGCTCTGTACGAGATCGTACATTAGTGCAATCAAAAAATGAATTCATCATTCGGCAAAATTCAGCAGTTCCCAAAACTTCATAATTATCAGCTTCTTCCAAGGCAATTGCCACTGACCGACTTAACACTTGTGTTGCAAGCTTCACCTTCATCTTACTGTACAAAGTAAGAACAATATGTTCCAATGTCAATTTTGGAAGAACATGCAATGCAGATGCCTGATCCTTATAAAAAAGATCTGCTATATGCCTGAACAACAAATATCGACCATCATTCCACATGAAACGGCTGCATGTACCTGAACCGGAATTATACAAACAGTTCCGTGCTGTGTCTTTATCAAATGTGGTGAATCTGCAAAGAAATAAATGAACCGGCGTGATGTTGCAAAAAGGTTTATGGTCTTGAATACAACATCACAATTCAGATCTTCAACCAATTCTGTGTGGAGGTTGAACAGCTTTCGATTAGGTGAGGCACCATCATTTACTAAACCAATTACACGAAGACTCAATGACAGTTCCAATGTTGATACCACTTTCCAAAAGATTGGCATTAACTGGAACGAAGTGACATTTCCTGTAAAGAAGTATGCAATTCAAGGTCAGTGCATAGTCCTCTAACAAGAAATGCCAGTGCATGAGTGGCAATGGTATCTTCTTCTTGAAGGCAAGCGAAATTTGTCATTGGGTCACCAAGGTCAATGAATCCAACAAGGTTGCCAGAATGCTTGTCAAAAAACAAGACCGGATTGAATTTTCATCTCGTCCATTACTAGAACAATATATCGCTGAATTTTAGTGAAGGATGAAAATTTCTTTTTTAATTCGTGAACATTTTCATTGTTGATTCCAGCTTTAGAGGTGAAATAGTTTTTATAATCATGCAAGACACTCTCACTTGGCAGGACTAGAGCACCACTCTCTCTTAGCTCTCTATAGGCAGAAGGTGATTTTCCATGAACTGACAAGGCAAACCAGATAATTTGAGGATGGTATCTCCGTCCACTGCTTGATGATTGCAACAACTTCATCTGTTCTTGCCAAAAGAATTTCATATGTGGAGTGGCTTCCAAATTTTGTCCATTCATTATTTGTAAAATATCCTCTTCAAGGGATTTGTCAACACTCACTCCTTGGTCGACAATCTTCTGTTGCAATTCTTCCAGTTGTTCTTCAAGCATCTTGCACTGAAGCCTCGTTGCTACAACAGTAGCTCTTAATTTTTCTGGTCCGCATGCAGAAAGAGGTGCCTTGCTTTTTGCTGGAGATGTTTACGCCTTCAATTTTTTCTTTTTCTTAGCTGTTTGCTGACTTTATTACACGGAACACAACATTTAGAGGTATCCAATAAAACATGACAATCATTAGATCGAAAGAAGACAGTTGCTTCAAATTGCTTTGGAGATAGTACATGAGGAATAGAATGACGTATGACTGTTTGAGGAATTGGTACTGTTGTATCAGTATTTGGGTCAATTGCAACAGACTTCACCGTAAAGTTGTCAGGGAGACCTTTGCAAACCATGCTCTTCTCAATGGTATTTAAAAGTTCCTTAACTTGTTCATCTATTTACATCTATATTTGTTAAGTCGGTAAAATCCTTTCGAATATCACACCAACTAAAGTACAAGTACTTATGGAGTGCTTGCAGTTGTTATCCCCGAGCCGACGGCGCGAAGCGCCGTGCGAGGGTACTAATTCCCCCCGGCTATTTACACCCGGGGAAACGAAAGCATTAGCGGAGTCTAAAGTTCATCAAGTATCGCGGGCGTGGGTGACCAACGGTGTTGAGTGGGTGGTCATATCATAACGACTGTATGACGACAGCGAAATAGCAAACATTTCTTGATTTGATCACAGATTTGATGATTGATAAATTTCTTGCAAATATACTTCAATTTTACTCGCATTTTTGCAAGATTTTGTAAATTTCAAGATAGAAACGGCGAAAGAATCGGCTAAAAGAAGGGAGCCGACGTTAACGAAGGTAAGTTTGTGTTAAGTATTGATTTTATAATTGCTTTAAAACCCGACGGCCTTTGGCCCTTTGCGTATATGAAATAACTAAACAAGACAGCATATAATTTCAGTCAATTCAGTGTATTATTAATATTGATTCCTTTTTTATTATATTGAATTTTTTTACTAAAAAGAAAGCAAAGTTATTTGCATGCGAGAATTTGAAATCATTTTGTTACAAACTCAAAGTTTATCGATAAAGCCATTTAATTAAAGCCAGGCAATTTAGTTTTATAAAGAACGTTTTAAAACGTTTTGCGAAGCTTTTGTGGTTGAATTTTACCTTAAATTGAAGCTTATATTACGTATAATAACATACCTAACAAATATATGTTGGCAAATTGATAATTTCGTAATTAAAATTGATATTTTTAGGCAATTTTTCATTTGTAAGAATATTCTTAAAAAATTATCGTGTTATTACCATGACAACAACTTTGGATACTTCATGTTTGGAAAATACAATGGTTTTGTCAGCAAGGCGAGGGTTTCTGCATGCATGTATTTTCTAGTAGATTGATGATCATGTGGTATTGGCCAGTTGAAAGCAAAGGATGTCATTTGCACACTCTGATCGATTATAACTGTATACTTAGGAATGGAGTGAACAGTGTCACACAGGTGAAATGTCACCGTATCGTCTTTCACATAACTTTTCTAAGGCTCTAAACACTCTTTCCCAACGAATTCTTTGATATCATCAATTGATACTCTCTGCCCAGCAAATGTCCCAACATCAGGATCGACAAATGCAGATGTGTGTAAACGTGCTTTCAACGATTTAAAATTTTTAATTTTATGTAAATTTGTAAATGTCGACAGAAGTCAAATCGGGAGGTAGCCTCGCATGGGCTATTATGGCCCGTTCGCTATTTTCCCGTTTAGGAACTGCATGTTTGTTGTATTTGTACCTTATTAATGTAATATATTTAGTTCCTAATAAAGCTGTTAAAAAAAAATAAATAAATAAAAAAAAAGAAAGAAAAAAAAAGATGTTGATGGCATATCATGATCGTCATCTATGGCCTTTCTCACAAGAACTCGACATGGGGTTATAGTTTTCTCTGATGGATGTTTTGGCAAATTTTCTGTTGGAATGCATCCAGTCACCAGGGTTTTTCTCGAATTAGGTTTGTCAGTGTCTACAAGTATAACCAAATACATTAAAATAATGCTACGTCTAACACAAAATTATAACTTAAATCGGTGTTTATTCTCTAGTATATACGCAGTTCATTTTCTAGTCTTTAAAATATATAAATAAAAAACAAAACTAATCAGACCAAAGTGAAACCATATGCACTTCTCCGTAAATATATTAGTTTTGTGTGTTTCGCTTCAGCAGTCGCCAGTCGAGCTTCCACTAGCATTTGCATAATAGTTACAGTAACAAATCAATACTACAGAGTGTCCAAAAAAATTCCCTTTAGAAATCAAGCTATTGTTGTTAAGCACAAGATTTTGTGGTCCTGCATGTACAGTGTGTCTTTAATTAAAAATCAAATTCAATTGCATTTACGGTGCCCGTGGGTTCAGCATAGTACTCAGACATTGAAACTATAGAGTGTATAAAAAGCTATACCTTTAGAAATTAACCATTATATTTGAATACCTGCATGAGCACTATGCTGATGCTGAACCCACGGGTGCATAAACACAATTGAATTGAATACCGTATTTAATTACATGCAAGAGCATAAAATCTTGCGCTTATTAAACAACAATAGCTTAATGTAATTTCTGGGACAACGCAACATATGCAAGTACACTCACCTTTCGAAATTCCCAACAGATGGCCAACAGATGTAAAAGTTCATATTATTTCAAATGTAAATTAGGTAATTTGATATGTACTATTTAAAGCATGCGTAGGAGTGTTTTATCACATATAAACCATGACGCGTAGCGGAGTGTTTTGTATGTGATAAAACACGACTACAAGTGCTTTAAATAGCTTAAAAAATTGCTCATCTTATACAAGTTCATTGGCGAAGTAATTTTTAAAATAAACTTTGTCTAAACCGAGAAAATCAAAGCTAAAGTTTATGTAAATTAACGTGATTTTTTATCACATATAAAACCACGACACGCTTATGATTTTTCTTTGTGTTTTGCTCCTGAATTATTAATGAGTTTTTAAAGTATTATTATGCCATTTGTAATATGATGCACACTATTTGACACATGGCCCCTCCAAGCAGGGATCAAAGACATATTTTGAAACTCCGCCCACTTTCCAAACCATCTTATTTCTATTAACTGTGTTTTGATGTCATATCCAAACGTTACACATTAACATTGCTGCAACGTTAAAATCTAACATTGCTTAGAAGATATATTGATGACATCCAGGAACGATAAATTTCATAACTGTATTGTATTGTATTTAATTATATTTATACACGGTAACCTATCAATTGATATTGATTTTCATAGGGCCGTGTGATATTTACAAATAAAAGAATGGAACTATAATTACAATTTATCGCTTAGATGCTGATTCCAGGTCTTAGCTCCCATATAACTAAAACTTCTCTTCATAGAGTTTGTATTTGGTTTTGACAGTCTAGGAATTTGCCTTACTTCTTAATTTATAATTAGAATTGTTGCATTTTTCAAAAAGGCAACCTATTATCTCCGGACCATTATCATTCATAACATTACTATACATTTTTCCATGAGATTTTGTCGCCTTTCATCCAGTGTTTTCCAGCCTAACTTAAGTAATATTTGTTTTGATCGAACATCATAATTATCACCTGTCACATCGAACGTTCCTAATTGATGACTGACTTTGATTAATTTTACAAAACTGTTTCCTATCTTTCAAGTAGGATTCAAACCATGACAGAGATTGCTTTGGAAAGCCATAAAGTTTTAATTTCTCAATAAGAATGTCATGATTTACAGTATCAAACGCCTTTTTAAGTCAAGAAATAATACACCATTTATTAGGCCTTTGTCAATGTTACATAACCATTCATTTGTAACACTTAACAGTGCTGTCGATGTGGAATAACCTTTCCTAAATCCTGATTGATATTTTGTAAATAATTCATTGTCATCGAAATATTTACTGATTTGTTTATATATTATTTTCTCGAATACTTTAGATACAGCTGTGAGAACAGATATCGGTCTATAGTTGCCAAGTTCAGTCTTTAATCCTGCCTTAAAGATTGGAGAAACTCTAGCGAGTGCCAATTCGTCAGGAAATTTTTCCATTTTAAGTGACTGATTAAAAACACTCGGCAGTGTTGAAGAAATTACATAACTAGAATCTTTGAGAAATTTTGGAGATATATTGTCTGGTCCAGAGCCCTTGTTGGCTTTTAAATTTTTTAATTCAGTTAGTACTTCATCCTCAGTAATTTCTACAAAGTCAAATGTACACTCGTTGTGCTTTATGTAGTCGACATATTTTACATTTGTAGAAGGAATTTCCACTGATAGTTTCTCTCCAATCTCAGAAAAATATTCATTAAATAAATTGGTAATTTCTTCCTGATCATGAATAGGTACACCGTTATGATCTATATTTAGTATATCGGTTGTTTTTGATCTTTTCCCAATCAACTGATTTATACAGCACCACATTTCTCTTGGCTTGTTCTTAGTAGTTACTATTTTATTTCGAAAGTATTCAGATTTAGATTCTTTTATAATTTTGTTGACTTTGTTCCTTTATGTCTTAAATGCTTCGTGATAATGTAGAGAATTGTGCTTAATTGCCATTTTTTTTAAGTAATCACGGTGGTACATGCTCTTTTTTATATTACTTGTTAGCCAGGGCGCATATTCACTCCTGACTTTACGTATTCTAGTCGGTGCATGTTTTTCAAGTACCATATTAAAGATATTTTTCCAAGATTCCCACATTTCATTTGGGTCTGATGTATCAAAATCAAAATTTTCAAAATTATATTTTAAATCTTCATTGAATTCGTGACTGTTATAATTTTTTAAACAACGCGTAACGACTACTTTATGTTTACTTTTAGGCACAGATAGTTTTCGACAAGTGTATACCAGACTATGGTCACTTATTCCAATGTGTATAACTCCAGATTTTAAATAATTTTCAGGTTTGTTTGTTATCACAACGTCAATTAAAGTTTTGGAAGTCTCTGTTATTCGAGTAGGTTCGTTAATTAATTGATGCAATTGATATAAATTTAATATTTCTAAAAAATTGTCAGAATTGTGTGCAACTGATCGATTTAATAGATCATAGTTAAAGTCTCCCAAAATCACAATTTCTTTTTCTTCATTATCCAAGTTTGATATGTGCTAGCTGGGTTACATGCTTAATTAATGCCTTTGCCTAATTTGCATATGTCAGCAATATGCAAATTAGATAAAGGCATTAATTAAGCATGCGAAAGGCTGATTTATTAGGATAAAATGAATAGCTAAAGGCTTAAACTAAAGCAAATTGTCTGAAATTTTGTACAGTAATTAAAAACCCAACAAATGTTCCATCTATTAACTCAAAATATGATTAAAGTGTTTAAATTTTGTGTGCAAGCCATTTTTAATTTGTTGGAAAAGACACAACCCCCCTGGTTCACAAAATTTGAGTTCAAGAAATTTTCATTCTATGTTATAAGTACCCAAAGAAGTTATATAGATCAAAAACTGGATACTAATATAATAGCTGTTTTGCAAAATTGAGAGCAATTTCAAAATTCAGGGTTTTTTTTATACACCATGTATACTGTCAATCTGTCATAATTTAAATTAATTATACTAATTGTGAAAATTTTATTTTGCCTTACCCATGCAAAACAGCAAAAGTTCTTATCTGTAAAATAGTGTGAGCTTTATCTATGTGTATATAGGCCATAATATTAAGAATTAAACACCTTTTCTAACATGTGTGTTTTTCCAACATGTTTGGATTAATTTGAACTCCATAGGAATATATTCCTTCATCATACATAAAGAATTTATGATCAGTAAGTTCAAGTAACCTATGATCGTCCACATGTGGAACATGGAAAACGGAAACCCATGTGGAACATGAAATAGACCCTCTGTTGTCTTTGTCCATTCCCATGACTTTGGAAATCTTTTTTCAAAAAAGAGCAGTATTCTGCAAGGTCATCAGCTGTGATACCTTTGTTGAAATTGAAAGTGCCTCCACCAAACTTTTGTCTCAAAGTATCAAGGAACCTCTGCTTGATGTCAAATACACTTGCTGGCAACCTCGTTCCCAGGGTCTGTCATTTGGGAGAGACCCTGGCTGTGGCTGGTCACATGCCTTGTCCAAAATTTAGCACCGGAGGGTGTATCAAATTACATCAACAAACATCAAATTTTGCAAATTATTAAGTTCAAAATACGTGCTAATTTTTGTTTATTTTCTTTGCTTTTAAGTAAAACAAGGCTCTCAAATATATTTGTAGATTTGTGTGATAGTGTCATAGTGATGCATGCATTTATGCACAAGCAATCCTGGATATGATATAGACGATACAAGCTCTCGATTAAAAAAATAACGGTATTCTATTCCATAAAGCAAAAATTTAAATCTTGCTTGTATTATTAGGGGGCTTTGGTGGCAAAGTGGTTAGCACACTTACCTTTCACCTCTAAGGTAGCTGGTTCAAGCCTCAGTGAGAACTTCTCAATGTGACTCGAAACCAGTCCTCGTGTGAAAAGAGTAAAAGTCAATGTGCTGCCGAAAGTCATGGGTTTGAGCGCCATTTGTAAGCTCAAAGTCTACCTCGGTGTGCTTCACGTCAGTCTGGTTCTATCTATCTATTCACAATGTAACCAGTCACTGAAAAGCCCTGATAGGGAGCGTGCTGTGAGATATCTGTATCTATTATTAAGAATATATATAAAGCAAAAAATTAAAGCTTGTGTCAAAACGAAAGCTGTGTTGAACACAACTAAACTAAATGTGGTGAACACTACTATACAGTGCTCATTGAAAGACATATATAATTATATTGACATATTGTTGTTTGACTTCTCTTTGGTGTATGATTTTATAATACCATAGATTTTCAACAGACAGCTATACTTTGACATATACCATGATCGTTGGGTTTCAGCAATGCCAAGGGCCAATTTTACAGTCTTTTGTCTTATTTTGAGGGCCTTTTAATAAGGCCTTTATATAAATATGGCCTTTATGGCCTCTGGATACAGTTGGCGATATTTCGGAAATCAAAAGATCTCACTATTTTGTTGCAATTCCACATATACGTACAGTATTTATTATAAATATCAACACACAGTCACACACAGACTCACTCGTTTAAATCCACATCTAACACAGTACACAAATCCCAAACATTCCCTATTCCCTTGTGAAACTACTGAAATAGTTGACATAACCTTTTAATTTCGATGGCTTTGAGGCTCTTACTAGTAAAATATTTCCATACAATGCGAGATCCAATGTTCATTACTCCCGCCATAAAATTTATCACTAACTGTTTTGATTGCGGGCGAAATGCATCAGTCAAAAGCACATTATTTTGATCGCGGGCTAAACACATCAGTCAGCATCCATTTCCCAACGTTACGTAGCCATGAAAACAATGGTTGTCGTGACGTGTCGTTGGGGAAACTTGTCCAAAAGACTTGGGACCGATGCGCCACCAGTGCACCATTGATGCACTATTCTCCCCAACGTGACATAGTGATGCACTGCCGGCCCCAATGTGACGTAGTGATGCATACACTGAGCTATAATAATAGTGGATGCATCAAACTAAACACCGGCATATGTGGCGACATAAAGTCGCGGCACGAACCTTACAACTTGAGAAGTGCGAAATTTTCAAATTTTATGCGTTTACGTTTTTCATAATATTGTGCAAAATATAGCTTTGTTCACATTCATTCCTGCGAAAATATATTGTTTTTAAAGGACTTTGGATCAAAGACAACCAATATTTAAATATTTTTCAATTAGATGTTGACAATTCTCGTTCGTGTGAAAATTTTGACTGATGCACTCGCATCAGTTGCATCAGCACCTGAATAGAGTGAGTATTTTACACACACCTTACAACATTAAAATACGATTAGTAGCCAAAGTACTTGGACATTTGTAATGTTTGGTGCACTTTACTATAGATGCCTTGAAAAAGACAAAACCCTTGCACTTAAAGTTGCCAAGGGTAGTTTTGAGGCCCAATATGTGTTAAATTGGTGGTTAGAAAACCTGGAAGCTAGTTACAATGTTCTCCAACATCCCTCAATTGATATTGTTTTATATTCGGATGTCTCAACTATAGGTTGGGGGGCAGCACTTGGGGAGCAATCTAGAGGGGGCCACTGGTCCCCAACAGAAGCAGAACTTCACATTAATGCCCTAGAGCTTCAAGCTGCATTTTGTGCTCTGAGATCTTTCAAGCACTCCCTTAGTGGTAAACATGTTAAATTAATGATTGACAATACCTCAGCTGTATACATCAATAATATGGGCACAAGTCACAGTGACAATTGCCATTCAATATGTGTTGCCATTTGGGAGTTTTGCATGACCCACAAAATATGGCTAACAGCTGCCCATTTACCAGGGGCTTTAAATGTAGTAGCTGATAACGAATCAAGACGATCATACAGTGATTCTGAATGGATGATTGATAGCAATATTTTGCAAAATTCTCTATCAGATTTATACTTTACACCTGAAATGGACCTTTTTGCCTCTAGATTGAACAATCAATTAAATGCATATTGTTCATATAGATCCGATCCGGATGCAATGTATATTAATGCATTCTCTATCTCCTGGGCAAATTTACTTCAGGTTGTCCAGAAAATCATCCAAGACAAAGCCGAAGGAGTGATAGTGATCCCAAACTGGCCCACACAAGCTGGGTACTCTCTCCTTCAACCTCTTCTAGTCAAAGTACACAGAAATGCAAACCGTCAAAGACACTCTTACACCTTCCAGCATGCCCAAATCAGTTGCACCCTCTACACAAGGGACTGGAACTCCACATTTGTTTTGTGTCCGGGAAAGATTCTTAACATCTGGCATATCATGACGTTCGGCTGACATAATGATGGCATCATGGAGAGAGGGTACTAAGGCACAATATGACACATACATTAGGAAATGGTCAGACTTGTAAGAAGGTTAAGTGTGACCTTGTTACTCCTCCAGTTCCCATTGCCATTGATGTTTTTGCAACTCTTTTTGATGCAGGCCTTTCATATGCTTCTATCAATACAGCTCTCGCAGTGCACTGTCATCTGTCTTACTCATTGAAAATAGCAAGATACCTTGTGGTCAGTTACCACTGGTCAAACGCTTCATGAAAGGCATATTTGAACTGAAACCATCCTTGCCTGGATACCGTACAGTCTGGAACGTTAGTACAGTGTTTAATTATCTTCGTTGCCAACCAAATATTGTTGATTTGTCGTTAAAAGACTTATTATCTCTAAGACTGACATGATTATTATTACTAAGTGGACAACGTTGCCAAACTGTTTATTATTTCACTATGGATAACATGGAGCTCTCAGAAGACAAATGTGTTTTCAAGGTCACTGATAAGATCAAACAAACCAGGAAAGGATATCATATTCCACCCATCATCTATGAGCGTTATCCCCATGAAACAAGGTTATGTCCAGTAGTCCATATTAAGGAGTATGTAAAAAGAACTGCAAGTCTCCGTAGCCCAGACTGTAAACAATTGCTTGTTAGCTTTATTCGACCCCATAGCTCTGTTTCCAAGACAACTATTGCGTGTTGGTGTAAATTGTTATTAAGGGGTCCTGCTACCTGAATTTTTTGTTCGCGAACCTATGATGTAACTTCGGCTCTATCTTATTATGGTTTAAGGCATATGCAACATGCCATATATCATTTTGAAGCTTATAACATGCTCTACACAAATATTATCACAGATGACCTTCCAAGAAAAAACTTAAATGTAGAAGAACCTTGCCAACTTTTAACTTTCTATATTTAAAACATATCTAGTCAAAATGTAAGCATCCAAACTTGATGAATTTAAGTTGAATAATAGATTACATCCCTGTGAACAAAATAATGGATGCTTTTTGTCCAACTCTCTATTTTGTTGCCATGGCAACGAGTATTGGTGAGGAACTTCCTCGTCAATACCAATTTTGGTGTAGAACATTCAATTGTAAAAAGCATCCATTAATTTGTGCAGAAACATCCAAAGAACAATCTCAGAAAAAATCAGCAAGATTGCTTAAATACTCTTCGAGAAGATAGGATTTAAGTAACGGCCGCTAGCCAAAGTACGGTTTTTGAGAAAATGCCATTTAAAGTTAGTAAACAATGTTGCTAGTGTTTTCTGATGTTTAGGTGCAATATACCTTCCAAAGTCAACATTTATCATTACAAGAATGTCACAGTCACTTTTCTTGCTTTCTGCTGGCAAATTGAGCCAATGGGGCATCATCACTGTCATCAGACTGATCATTATGAGCAAATCTGGCTAACGGATAGTCATCTTCATCATCAAATTCATCTTCATCATCATCATCTGATGATGAGTCAAAGTCAAGTGGATCCACATCATTAAACATGCCACTGGCATAAGAGCATTCTCCTTCATTTGCTGCCAACTTAACTTGCCTTCTTTTCCTTCTCCTTTCTTTCTCTTTCACTGCTGCCCGTCTTGCCTAATCTGCCTTCCTCATTCTATCTTTTGCTGAACACCCCTCGAAGGTAAATTGACCACCTGGAATGATAACTGCCTTCATGACATCTTGCCTTGTGGCTGCAACAGCATTGAAGGACATCACAGCAATCTCCACAACATGAGCCGCTTTGTACCGGTGTTTAGGAGCACGCTTCCAAACAAGGCTGTTGATGCTTTCATTTGCATTTTGCGAATATCCAGGAAGACAGCGGAGCAACAGGGAATACTCACTGAGGCGTTGGAACTCGGGTAGAAGATAATCTAGGAAAACACCATCTAAATGGTGATCTTTTCTCTTGAGAGTACCATCTCTCCTATAAGAGCACCAGCTACCTGGCCCTGGTGGACAGTATTTATGTCTCTCTTTCTCGTCACTAATCTCATAAGTGTGGTAGAGAACTGCCAGTATAGGCTTTTGCATAACTTCAATTTGCTCCTTTTGCTCTTGTGGAGTTAATGTCCAATATTTATGTTGTGTTATTAGCATTTATACTAATGCATTTAAAGTTATACAAATTTGTTCACATGAAATGTATTATTGACTTTTATGTGTTACTGTATCTCGGATTTACCCTGATGACCAGCTGTGAAATCTTGTACAGCTCTGTAACGACTACGGCTGATGACATAATAGAATTTACCAATTTAACAAGACTTACCTGTAAGTTGAAGTTGGATTGGAATTCTATAAGTCATCAGCCAAGAGTGAAAGAGGTGTACTCCCAACCCAAGTATTATACACTTAATGTCTGCTCCCGAGGGAAATAGTTTTGTTTTCCCGAGAGTCTCAATGTTTCCCAAGACGAAGTCGAGGGAAACATTGAGATTCGAGGGAAAACAAAACTATTTCCCGAGGGAACAGACATTAAGTGTTTTGTTATATAGCGACGAACAAAAATCAACTTCAACAACATTCATATACAACAATTGTTTTTCGTGGCAAAAACTCTATAGAGTAAACGAGTTTAAAATTAAAGAACCTACTTAAATGGTTTCGGCAGCATATCCTGTTTCCTGTTCTGTATTTTTCTTCCCTTTTACATTCTTTATTTGCACACAAACTTGGATCAAAGGTCTCAATGAGACGACTCACAGATCACAAAGAAACAAACCAAAGCCAATTATCGTGTAATAAGTAGAGGGAATAATGTGATTTCAGTAAGTTGGAAAAAAAGAGAGAAAATTTCGACGCATTGTATATATTGCCGGTAGTTTATCTGCCGTTAGAACCGCGATTTGAATAGGAACCGCGATTTCCAAGCAATGTTTGCACGATATACATAACCTGCCTCGTCCCTCGTCGCTTCAGTTGGAATAGGTGTAGTAGGCCACCTAGTAGGCGGTGTTGTTGGTGGTAATGTAGATTTTTCTAATAAAATAGAGACAAGAGTAATATTTATTTAATCTGATGTATCACTGTAGTTTTAGATTACTGAAACAAACTATTTGGCCACATTTAGATGTATATACAATTGTCGGAACTGACTGATAATTATAGATCTAATTAATATGTTGACATGCATGACGCACAAAGTCGAGAGAGATTAGAGGAGAATGGGTTGAGTGAGTGTGCAAAAAACGAGTGAGTCACAAGGAGCGAGATATTCGAGAGAGAATTGTGACTGTGACTGTGAGCGATTGTGAGAAGGTCTAATCGATAGACAAACAGCGAACATATATATATATTGGGAACATTACGTTAACTGGGACACAAGGGAGAACATTCTATACTATTCTAGAGACGGCGGAAAAGATGGAGATGGATCCGAAAGAAATGGAACTAGAGACTAAATTGACGCAGCTGAACTTAGCGGTACAAAGGTCAGAAAAAATCTTGGCAACAGGTAAGCGTGAAACTATTAAACGGCACCTCGAAACGCTACAATCAGTGAACAGTTCATCTAACCAATGCAAACGCTTGGTTGAAGAACAGAAAATTGCGAGCAAAACAAACATGGATGAAATCGCTAATTGGAATGACAATATTGAGTCGAAATTTGAAGAAGCTGATTTTCAAATTGCACGTTTTAGTGATTGGCTGGCGGAAAATGAACGCCAAACTAAGGCTGTAGCCCAAGAGGAGCTGTTTAAGAATGAATTAAAATTGCATGAAGAAAAATTACGCATGCAATCCGAGCTTGTGAACAGCGCCAAATCAAAACCGGAAACACAGGAATTTTCTAGTCCAAGCGCAAAATTGCCTAAACTGGTAATCTTAAAGTTTGAAGGCTCGTATATGGACTGGCCCCGGTTCTGGGGGCAAGTCAAAATATGTGTGGAATCCCTTCCCTTTTCCCCCGAGGGCTAAAACAGAGCCAAAGCAATCCTTCAAGATAAATATGGGAAGGAATCTGAGATAGTGAAATGTTATGTAAAGGAAATTCTCGATTTACCCCAAATTCCGAATAGTAACGCCCGAAGAATTGCTGAATTCAGCGAGAAATTAACGTATTGCGTGAGAGCACTAGAGACTCTCAAAAAACTTGACCAAATCAACGGAAATGTTTCGATGACATTAGACAAATTGGCAGGGATTAGGGGTGATTTAGTTCGAACTGATCCTGAATGGGAGTCGTGGGATTTTAGTAAACTGGCCGAGGCATTGCGCCAGTGGGTAAAGCGCAACCCAGTAACTACCGGTAGTGATTTGCGACACGATGAAAATCGAAGGAAATTGTTTCATGCAAAACGAGACGAACAAAAACTTTCGGGTTGTGTTTATTGCGAAGATCTTAACCATAAGGCTGTAAGATGTCAGAAAGTTGTAAATCCGAATGAGCGCAAACAAATTTTGGCGAAAAAAGGGTTGTGCTTTAACTGCGCCACAAAATTTCATCGCGCCTCCGATTGCAATAGTAAGACCTCCTGCGGGCACTGCAATAGACGTCATCATACATCAATTTGCGAACAGTACAATAATAAACGTGATGACAGATCTGTTCAAGATGAAGCCAGAGATAAAAACCCCTCCGGTGGTAAAAAGGTGATGACTGATGGAGCATGTGCTGAGGGAATATTTCCAGTTGTACTTGTCAAAGTTAATGGGGTAATGTGTCGAGCGCTCATTGACTCCGGCGCCGGGAGTTCATACGCGTCTGCGAAACTTATAAACGCATTAGAAGCAAAACCCAGTGAGATAAAAAGCCAACGCATAGACATGTTGATGACGTCGCAGATGAAGAAAATTGAAATTTATGACGTGACAATTAGTTCGTTAGACGGTATGCATGAAATTAAAGCGAAATTAAATAAAGTAGATAGAAGCGAACTTTTAACGACAAGCAATCCAAATTATGAAAAAATAGTAAGAGAATATAAACACTTAAACTCAGTCAAGATGGACGAATGTGACACGAAGAGCGACCTTCCCATACATCTTGTGCTAGGGATTGGAGAGTATGCGCGAATCAGAACAAGAACCAAGCCTCTCGTGGGGAAGGAAGGGGAGCCAATAGCGAACAAACGAAGTTTGGATGGGTCATAATGAGTCCTGGGGTCGAATTTGGCCAAAGTACCATGCTACTAACCACGACCTCGCAAGCTGACGTCGAGCGGGTGTGTCGATTAGATGTTCTCGGGCTTGAAAATACCTCTGAGAAAGACCCTCGACCGGTCTATGACGAGTTTAAAGAAACCCTTACTCGCAATGAAGAGGGCTGGTACGAAACCAGCCTGCCGCGGAAATCGAACCATCCAAAGCTCCCATCGAACGAGCAAGGCAGACAACGAAGACTAAAGAATTTAGTGAAGCGTCTCGAGCGTAAGGAAATCTACGAAGAGATTAAGAAAGGCCTGTACGTCGACGATGTTATGACGGGGGATGAGAGCGTTAAAGAAGTTACAGAGAATGAGCGAATTAAATGGCACCATGTTCCAACAAACGAGAATCCTGCCGACCTGGGAAGTCGCGGAGGAAATGTTACCAATAACGTATTATGGCAACATGGACCCGAATGGCTGAGCGACCAAGCAAGATGGCCACCGGAAGTGGTCCCCGTGGTGACCTCGGAAGCCAAAGAAGAAGAAAAGGCTTCAGTCCGAGTGATGGTTGCAGTAAATCAACCAGTAGCAGAGAGTGTATTCGACAAGCTCCTTGGAAAGTATCCATTGCGAAAAACCCTACGAATTTGTGCTTGGGTGAATAGATTCGTTCGAAACTGCAGGAACGAGAGCAACAAACGTGAATCAGGGCCGATTAAGAGCCACGAAATCGAAGAGCGTACGCTATGGTGGATCAAGCGTGTGCAAGAGGAGACCAAAGATAACCCCGAACTTTCCAGTGCAAAAGTTGAGCTGAATCTTCAACCTAACCAAAGTGGAATCCTGGAGTGTCGAGGGCGGATTGAAGGCGACTATCCAGTATATTTACTTACGAACACGGTCTTCACGAAGAAAGTTGTAGAGCAAGCCCATATCATTACACTCCATGGCGGAGTACCGGCGACGATGGCAGAAGTACGAGAACGTTATTGGGTGCCTAGACTACGCCGTCTTGTGAAACAGATACGAAGCAACTGTCATGGTTGTGCTAGATTCCGGGCACAATCGTATCATAGACCACCCCCGGGCAGATTACCACCAACACGAACCCAAGGGACAACTCCTTTCCAAGTATTAGGAGTCGATTTTGCGGGCCCTATTCGTTACAAAACTAAAGCGAAAGCCGAAAAGAAATCGTATCTAGTTCTCTACGCGTGTAGTTTGACAAGAGCGGTGCACCTCGAATTATTAAAGTCGTTGGAAGTAGTCGAATTCCTGCCGAGTTTAAAGAGATTAATTGCAAGAAGGGGGAGGCCACAAGTGATATATTCTGACAACGCGACAACCTTTAAAGCCGCGGAGAAATGGTTGCAACAAGCTCAGAAAGACGAGAGATTCAACGCACTTCTTACGGACAAAGGAATCCGGTGGAGATTTAATTTGAGTCGGGCCCCATGGTGGGGAGGACAATTTGAACGATTGATAGGCCTCTTTAAGCGGAGTTTTTACAAGAGTATTGGAAACGGAAACTTAACCTGGGAAGAATTGATGGATGTTATTCTGGACATCGAAGTAGCGCTGAACAATCGACCGTTAAGCTATTTAGAAGATGATGTGGAACAACCTGTGCTCACCCCAACCAAACTGTTACAAATTAACCCGAATGTTATCCCCGAAGTTCAGCCCCACCATCTTGATGACGTTGACCTTCGTAAAAGAGCTAAGTTTCTTCGAAAGTGCAAAGAGTTAATGTGGAGACGTTGGTCACGAGAATATGTGCGAGGCTTAAGAGAACGACATCGACAGGAAAAGGGCGAACAAGGGACACATCCCAACCGTGGGGATGCGGTTATTATCGGAAGCGAAGAAAAGAATCGAAATTTGTGGAAGTTAGGTATAGTCGGAGGGTTAATTCGAGGACGTGATGGCGTTGTACGGGGAGCGAAGGTAAAAACAGCGAATGGACAACTCGAACGAGCGGTACAACACCTTTACCCACTCGAGCTCTCTTGCGACAGAGAACCACCCGTAAGTTTGAACCCGACCGCCCCTACCTTCAACCCTAGACCAAGACGTGACGCGGCAGCTGCAGCAACCGTCCGTATACAACAAGAAGCAGAAGAAGAAGATTGGTGACATTTATTTTAATATTTTATTAATTTAACTAACATTTTAGTTGTTTATATAGGTAGACCATAAGGAACTACGACGATGTCAGTCCCTTAGTGAGCATATATCTCAGTTGAGATATATGGGGGAGTGTGTCGGAACTGACTGATAATTATAGATCTAATTAATATGTTGACATGCATGACGCACGAAGTCGAGAGAGGTTAGAGGAGAATGGGTCGAGGGAGTGTGCTAAAAACGAGTGAGTAACAAGGAGCGAGATATTCGAGAGAGAATTGTGACTGTGACTGTGAGCGATTGTGAGAAGGTCTAATCGATAGACAAACAGCGAACATATATATATATTGGGAACATTACGTTAACTGGGACACAAGGGAGAACATATTCTATACTATTCTATTAATTGATTTATTGTTACTGTTGGGTTAAATATAATATATTATTAAAACATTTGTGATTTCGTGACTTGTCGGGAACTACGTTAAAGCGGAGGCGAATTCTCGACATATTTATAATTTGCAGCATTGTATAAATAGAATATTCAATTTGCGGCTACCTCCGATGTATGTCATTGTGATTATTCCCCGCTGCTTCGTTTTTTGTATGTTTCTCTGTAAATTTCATGTTTTATGGGCTAGAGCACTAGCTGTTTTCAGATGCCCACGTTGAGATTTCAACATTGGGTTTTTCCTTCACAGGACGTTTTCATGAATTTCTGGCATTTATATACATATATATGTTCATGTTCTCATTCAGTCTGTTCTGTTTTGTATACGTGGCTGTTACGGCTGTTCTCGTCTAAACTTATGTTGTGTCACTCTGACCGTATATAATTTGCTACTGTTCCTGTGTTAGGAAAAATGCATGTCTACGTGGGATAGAGCGATTATCGTTTTCAGATGCCCACAGTTGAAATCAATATATTGTGGGACGGTGCAGCTAGTTGTTTTCAGATTGCCCGAATATTTATATATTTTGCAGCATTGTATAAATGGAATATTCAATTTGCGGCTACCTCCGATGAATGCCATTATTCCGCTGCGTTGTGCGATGTATGCCAACTTCATTTCGTTGTGACGTTTACATATATGTCAATACTTCTAACGTTTTGCAGTATTGTTATAGAATAACAATTAGATTATTCCACTGCTTTTTGTCTTACAGGTTGTTTTATTATTGTACAGTATGTTTTTGTTAGGTTTATGGTCCGTTTAGCCGGGTATGTCGATATCAACCGGTCAAGCATAGCTAATGTACATGGTGCAACTCAAATTTTGCTTGTCTGCGTTCTTTAGTCTTTTCTTTCAGAACATCCATGCTACTAGCCCAAGCATCTCAAGCGGGCCTCAAGTACAAATGGTCGCTGAAGAAAACGTCAATCGTCCACCCTTCATGATTGCCAGTACACTGACAGTGAAATGTTATGGCCAACTTGGTACTTCCTATCCTTCAACTATTTTCGTCCGCACCACCCGCGCTCTAATATAGATTTGTGGTTTGTGACTTGGCAGTACGCGGTGGCGCCAAATTACAAAATTTGATACACATTTGCGCTCTTTGCGGCCAAACCACATACTGCGATGCCAGGGGGGTCAAAAGTCATTAGGAAGCCGGAATACGCGACTTTCAGTCTTGTTCGCGCACTGTGCCAAAATTAATTACGCGCACGCAATCTCAGAAGCCTACTTCTGGTTATTTTGTGACAATGGGCTTCCAATCTCTTGACAACTTAGACAGTCTTCATGTAAGGCAATATATCCGATTGCAAAATTTTAATTTTCATCCTCATCGATTCTCCAGTAATGGCGCCCCAACCGCTGTCAAGTCTCGACCAACACCAGTCACAATAAATCAATTAATTTATTGATGCATTTACTGGGTGGACATGATGCGAAATGGATTGTTTATTCATATGAAGGTTTTACATTTGCGAATATCGTTTTATGCAAATTATAAAAGATCTGCTGAACAAAACCATAAAATTGTGAACACTATATATTAAATACCTAGGGGAATAGCTGCGTGTTCGCCTTTGGGTATTGTTTATACTTGACAAGCGCCGGAATACATGATTTATTTTCTCTAAATTCTATTGTTAGTTTTGGTAGTCATTAGAGAGGTTAAGATACTGATGTCTGTAATTCGATCATACTTTTTCTGTTTTCTTGCAATAGACAATGAAATAACGCGAAAAATGTGCACCTTAATTACGAGTAAAGGTACAGACATCGACGAAAATATTGCTAACCAAAATCATGCTACCCGTACACGTACACCGAAACCGGGGTATCTTAACCTCTCTATTGCGATAAACTACGTTCGTGTTGATGTCGTACATTCGACATGTTTAATTATACTTTAATATACGGCTTCAGAAACGGTTAGTTGCAAAAACACAGCTATATATTTCGCATCATGACTTCCCGGCTTGGCAGCTTCGCAATTATCACCGATGCCGCATTCATCTTGCTGATTTCTTATCTCTTTGCAAATATTGGGGAGTGCCAATCCGTGAGCTCTCATTCGCAAGAATTGAATTAGACGCTTTACGCATGACAGCGCTATTTATTACCTGAGGATCAGACTGCGGAATTTAAATTAAGTCACTTGCGTAAAAAGGTAATTCAATCCTCGATTGCCTTGCTTAATTAATTTAGTTTTGTAGGTGGTCGTGCCACGTCGTGCCTTGTTACGATGGCGTGTTGATCTTACAAAAGGCATCCGATCGGCCCAGCATAGTCGCTATACCCTATCGCACTCGGCAATTTGCGAGGCGGTGGTAATTCAGCGTATAACGTTCTTAACAGATGATGCTGCATTGGTTGATATTATAATAAGGCTATTCGGTTCCATTTTGGAATTCGGCTGTTATGATATTTGTACGTAAACTGGTGCTTGCTTGTTTTTAATTAATAGCATTAAGTATATCTTTATTTCGTACTCGGCACATATCTGGATTAAAAAGTGTTTCAGAAAATCCTTTATCTCGGACACAGGTTGCTACGTTGAGACAGCTCGCATCGGCCAACGTTCATTCATCACCAACAGTCATTCCGGACTATCATATATATAACCTCAATTCACGTTTCTAAATTTAATTTACCCAGTTTGTTACTAACGGTGTGTACAACAAATGTTTTGTTTTTCGCAAACGTCATTGCCGGCTGGATGTTGAACTGGCACAAGGTTCACATTTTAGCAGATGCATGTTTATTTCGCCCGAAACTGGTGATTGCCTAGGTATTTTATCTTACTTATTCATCATCGCTGGATGTTGAACCGACACAAGGGTAAGGTTCACATTTCAGCTGATGATATTTATTTCGCTAGAAACTCGTATAATACGGTATTTTATCGCCTCTGGAGACACTTATTGGTCATCGGTTGGATATTGAACTGACACATGGGTAAGGTTCACATTTCAGCTGATCATCAGTTTATTCCAGTGGAGGCTTGTATAGTAAACTAGGTAATTGATAGCACTGTTATTATCTAGACCAGTGCAAGTTCATTGCTTTTGACTGACAATAGCATATGCAGTCAAACTGACATAGATTGAGGTTTTTGTAACATGTGGTATCAGTATATACGTAGATATTTTTCATGATCATCTGCAAACGGTTTGCCAGGTTGGGGTGGGGTGTGTCTCCTTTATCCCAAGGAGACTTGTGGCGTTAGTAATGCCCCCACCTTTTCTGTGCTAAATGTTATATAGTTATTAATTAATAATTTTTCTTGTTAATTATTAAAAATCGATTAAAATAATAAACCGGCTATGTGCCAATAACCGGGCACATAAGCCATAATTATGCCATAAAGGCTTTGACTGGTTTTGTAGTATTCGGCAGCACAGAAAACCGAGCTCAACCTGACAAACAGTTTGCCGATGGTGGTTTAATATATGCAGGGAAGCGATAAAGTGGTTTTTTCGTTCAATCTTTCTTGTAATGTATCAAACGCACGTTGTTGTGATTCTTTCCATTCGTATTCTATGTCCTTCTTTGTAAGTTTACGTAATGGGGCAGTCAGTGTTGCAAGATCTTGGATAAATCTGCCGCAATATGTTATCATTCCTAAATAGCTACGAAGTTCAGAAACATTCGCTGGAGGTTTTAGAGACTTGATCGCTTCGATCTTTTTAGGACATGGGGATATACCCTGCTTCGAGAAAACATGACCATAAAACGTGATGCTTGGTTTATCAAATTCACATTTGTCATCGTTGAATCTTAAATTCTTTTCATTAGCACGCTGTAGAACAGATTCTAATGTCATGCCATGTTCATGTTGTGTTTTGGCAAAAACTAGTATGTCGTCGCTTATGTTTATACAACCGTCAATATCTTGGAATGTGGTCTGAATGACATTTTGAAATATCTCAGCAGCACTATTTGTGCCAAAGTTCAAACGTTTATATCTTTTGAGACCTTCATGAGTTGCAAATGTAGTTATGTCACGCGAAGCTTCATCCAACTCTAGTTGATGGTACCCAGAGCTTAGATCAAGTTTTGAGAAATATGCAGCACCATTTAGTTTTTCAATTAAATCTTCAGTTGTGGGAGAAGGGTGACGTTCCCGTGAAATGGCTTTATTGGGTATACGCATGTCAACACAAAGACGAATTTGGTCGGGATTGTTGGGTTTTGGGAAACAAACAATGGGAGATACCCACGACGTGGGGCCTGTTACACTTTCAATAATATCTAATGATTCAAGACGTCGCAGTTCTTCTGATAGTTTGGTTCTCATTGTAAATGGGATTCTTCGGGCTTTTTGAATTGTGGGTTGGACAGTTTTATCAATGTGTAAATGGACTTTGTAATCTGGGACTTTTCCGATTCCTTGGAATAAATTATCATATTTCGAAAATACGGTTCTCAATCTTTTAGGTCTAGACTTGCTATTTGTTGGAGCATTTTTCTTAGGTTGATGGGTTTCAGGTCGAGATGTAACAAATGCAATTTTGTTTAGCTTTAATAACCCAAGATCAATTGCAGTGTTTCCACTTATTAGACATCCAGCATCAGTGTTTATCACATAAAATTGGGCTGTGGTAATTTTTGTTCCTGATTCAACTGAAGCTTCGAAATACCCTTTGATGTCGAGGGGTGTGTTAGTGGCAAAAGTAAAAAGTTTTATTTTGCTTTTCATCAAGTGGATGTTGTTCTGGCGTGTTAATTTCTCAAAACTAGTATTATCGATAATATTTACACTGGCACCAGAATCAATGTTTACACGAATAGTTATGTCATTGATTTTAATATGGGTGTAGAAATTTCGTTTTCGACAGTCACTGTTAACTTCATTAACAGTTCCTCCTGTTGGTGAAGTGGTGATAGATGTTAAAACGACTTTGTTAGTATCAGGGGTTTGTTTTTTTATGGCTATTACTATAACAAGGAATGGGGAATCGGGGAAAGGAATCGGGGAACGGGGAATGGGGAATGCTAAAACCCGGAATACTAAAATGGGGAATCTCTAAAACCCGGAATACTAAAAGCCGGAATCTCTAAAACCCGGAATACTAAAAGGAATCTCTAAAACCCGGATACTAAAATGGGGAATCTCTAAAACCCGGAATACTAAAATGGGGAATCTCTAAAACCCGGAATACTAAAAGCCGGAATCTCTAAAAACCGGAATACTAAAATGGGGAATCTCTAAAAACCGGAATACTAAAATGGGAAATCTCTAAAACCCGGACTACTAAAATGGGGAATCTCTAAAAACAGGAATACTAAAATGGGGAATCTCTAAAACCCGGAATACTAAAAGCCGGAATCTCTAAAACCCGGAATACTAAAATGGGGAATCTCTAAAACCCGGAATACTAAAAGCCGGAATCTCTAAAACCTGGAATACTAAAATGGGGAATCTCTAAAACCGGAATACTAAAAGCCGGAATCTCTAAAAGCCGGAATACTAAAATGGGGAATCTCTAAAACCCGGAATACTAAAATATTATAATGACAGTTTTCCTTTTGTAATCCTTGATCAAAGCAAGAAGTTGCGAGAATTATTTCGTAACAAACGACGTTGGATTTGTATAAATTAAATGCATGGTTATATTGAATTCGCGTAAAAGCTAGCTGGTTGTGTTGTGACTACATATGGTATTCCGGCTTTTAGTATTCCGGGTTTTAGAGATTCCCCATTTTAGTATTCCGGGTTTTAGAGATTCCCCATTTTAGTATTCCGGGAGTTTTAGAGATTCCCATTTTAGTATCCGGGTTTTAGAGATTCCGGCTCTTAGTATTCCGGGTTTTAGAGATTCCCCATTTTAGTATTCCGGGTTTTAGAGATTCCGGCTTTTAGTATTCCGGGTTTTAGAGATTCCGGCTTTTAGTATTCCGGGTTTTAGAGATTCCGCATTTTAGTATTCCGGGTTTTAGAGATTCCAGCTTTTATCCGGGTTTTAGAGATTCCCCATTTTAGTATTCCGGGTTTTAGAGATTCCGGCTTTTAGTATTCCGGGTTTTAGAGATTCCCCATTTTAGTATTCCGGGTTTTAGAGATTCCCCATTTTAGTAATCCGGGTTTTAGAGATTCCCCATTTTAGTAATCCGGGTTTTAGAGATTCCGGCTCTTAGTATTCCGGGTTTTAGAGATTCCCCATTTTAGTATTCCGGGTTTTAGAGATTCCGGCTTTTAGTATTCCGGGTTTTAGAGATTCCCCATTTTAGTATTCCGGGTTTTAGAGATTCCGGCTTTTAGTATTCCGGGTTTTAAAGATTCCCCATTTTAGTATTCCGGGTTTTAGAGATTCCGGCTTTTAGTATTCCGGGTTTTAGAGATTCCCTAGAGATTCCCCATTTTAGTATTCCGGGTTTTAGAGATTCTGGCTTTTAGTATTCCGGGTTTTAGAGATTCCCCTATTCCGGGTTTTAGAGATTCCCCATTTTAGTATTCCGGGTTTTAGAGATTCCGGCTTTTAGTATTCCGGGTTTTAGAGATTCCGGCTTTTAGTATTCCGGGTTTTAGAGATTCCGGCTTTTAGTATTCCGGGTTTTAGAGATTCCCCATTTTAGTATTCCGGGTTTTAGAGATTCCCCATTTTAGTATTCCGGGTTTTAAAGATTCCGGCTTTTAGTATTCCGGGTTTTAGAGATTCCGGCTTTTAGTATTCCGGGTTTTAGAGATTCTGGCTTTTAGTATTCCGTGTTTTAGAGATTCCCCATTTTAGTATTCCGGGTTTTAGAGAGTCCAGCTTTTAGTATTCCGGGTTTTAGAGATTCCGGCTTTTAGTATTCCGGGTTTTAGAGATTCCGGCTTTTAGTATTCCGGGTTTTAGAGATTCCCCATTTTAGTATTCCGGGTTTTAGAGATTCTGGCTTTTAGTATTCAGGGTTTTAGAGATTCCCCATTTTAGTATTCCGGGTTTTAGAGATTCTGGCTTTTAGTATTCCGGGTTTTAGAGATTCCAGCTTTTAGTATTCCGGGTTTTAGAGATTCCGGCTTTTAGTATTCCGGGTTTTAGAGATTCCCCATTTTAGTATTCCGGGTTTTGGAGATTCCCCATTTTAGTATTCCGGGTTTTAGAGATTCCGGCTTTTAGTATTCCGGGTTTTAGAGATTCCGGCTTTTAGTATTCCGGGTTTTAGAGATTCCCCATTTTAGTATTCCGGGTTTTAGAGATTCTGGCTTTTAGTATTCCGGGTTTTAGAGATTCCGGCTTTTAGTATTCCGGGTTTTAGAGATTCCGGCTTTTAGTATTCCGGGTTTTAGAGATTCCCAATTTTAGTATTCCGGGTTTTAGAGATTCCGGCTTTTAGTATTCCGGGTTTTAGAGATTCCGGCTTTTAGTATTCCGGGTTTTAGAGATTCCGGCTTTTAGTATTCCGGGTTTTAGAGATTCCCTATTTTAGTATTCCGGGTTTTAGAGATTCCCCATTTTAGTATTCCGGGTTTTAGAGATTCCCCATTTTAGTATTCCGGGTTTTAGAGATTCCCCATTTTAGTATTCCGGGTTTTAGAGATTCCGGCTTTTAGTATTCCGTGTTTTAGAGATTCCCCATTTTAGTATTCCGGGTTTTAGAGATTCCCCATATTAGTATTCCTGGTTTTAGAGATTCCGGCTTTTAGTATTCCAGGTTTTAGAGATTCCGGCTTTTAGTATTCCGGGTTTTAGAGATTCCCCATTTTAGTATTCCGGGTTTTAGAGATTCCGGCTTTTAGTATTCCGGGTTTTAGAGATTCCGGCTTTTAGTATTCCGGGTTTTAGAGATTCCGGCTTTTAGTATTCCGGGTATTAGAGATTCTGGCTTTTAGTATTCCGGGTTTTAGAGATTCCCCATTTTAGTATTCCGGGTTTTAGAGATTCCCCATTTTAGTATTCCGGGTTTTAGAGATTCCCCATTTTAGTATTCCGGGTTTTAGAGATTCCCCATTTTAGTATTCCGGGTTTTAGAGATTCCCCATTTTAGTATTCCGGGTTTTAGAGATTCCCCATTTTAGTATTCCGGGTTTTAGAGATTCCCCATTTTAGTATTCCGGGTTTTAGAGATTCCGGCTTTTAGTATTCCGGGTTTTAGAGATTCCCCATTTTAGTATTCCGGGTTTTAGAGATTCCCCCATTTTAGTATTCCGGGTTTTAGAGATTCCGGCTTTTAGTATTCCGGGTTTTAGAGATTCCCCATTTTAGTATTCCAGGTTTTAGAGATTCCGGCTTTTAGTATTCCGGGTTTTAGAGATTGCGGCTTTTAGTATTCCGGGTTTTAGAGATTCCCCATTTTAGTATTCCGGGTTTTAGAGATTCCGGCTTTTAGTATTCCGGGTTTTAGAGATTCCCCATTTTAGTATTCCGGGTTTTAGAGATTCCGGCTTTTAGTATTCCGGGTTTTAGAGATTCCCCATTTTAGTATTCCGGGTTTTAGAGATTCCGGCTTTTAGTATTCCGTGTTTTAGAGATTCCCCATTTTAGTATTCCGGGTTTTAGAGATTCCGGCTTTTAGTATTCCGTGTTTTAGAGATTCCGGCTTTTAGTTTTCCGGGTTTTAGAGATTCCCCATTTTAGTATTCCATGTTTTAGAGATTCCGGCTTTTAGTAGCCGGGTTTGCTCTTCCCAAAAATCGGCCATCTGATATAAACTTTTTCAATATATTTCGGATGGACATGAAACTTGCTACATCAATATAACTTTCCATTCCGAACAATCGTATGTTTTTTATTTTTGAGATTTAACGGTTTTTGGCGGGAAAATGACGTCACGAAACCTCCAGTTAAAATTTATTTTCAATATCTTAATAGTTTTTAAGCAGAATGTGGAAGATCATGTCATGAAGAGTTCAAAACTGAAAAGACATTTTAAATATCTTAATCTAATCACGAGATACAGGGAGTTTAGAATCGAATTTTCCACCATTTTGTTACTATTTTTAGATTTTTCACGGTTTTTATAGTGAAATAACTTTGGATTAAGTTTAGATATTTAAAATCCGTTTTCAGTTTTGAACTGTTCATGACATGTTCTTCCAAATTCTGCGACAAAACTATTAAGATATTGAAAGTAAATTTTAACTGGCGGTTTCGTGACGTCATTTTCCCGCCAAAAACCGTTAAATCTCAAAAATAAAAAACATACGATTGTTCGGAATGGAAAGTTATATTGATGTAGCAAGTTTCATGTCCATCCGAAATATATTGAAAAAGTTTATATCAGATGGCCGATTTTTGGGAAGAGCTGACCCGGCGTGAGTATTCCGGGTTTTAGAGATTCCGGCTTTTAGTATCCGGGTTTTAGAGATTCCGGTTTTTAGTATTCCGGGTTTTAGAGATTCTCCATTTTAGTATTCCGGGTTTTAGAGATTCCGGCTTTTAGTATCCGGGTTTTAGAGATTCCGGTTTTTAGTATTCCGGGTTTTAGAGATTCTCCATTTTAGTATTCCGGGTTTTAGAGATTCCGGCTTTTAGTCTTCCGGGTTTTAGAGATTCCGGCTTTTAGTATTCCGGGTTTTAGAGATTCCGGCTTTTAGTATTCCGGGTTTTAGAGATTCCGGCTTTTAGTATTCCGGGTTTTAGAGATTCCGGCTTTTAGTATTCCGGGTTTTAGAGATTCCGGCTTTTAGTATTCCGGGTTTTAGAGATTCCGGCTTTTAGTATTCCGGGTTTTAGAGATTCCGGCTTTTAGTATTCCGGGTTTTAGAGATTCCCCATTTTAGTATTCCGGGTTTTAGAGATTCCCCATTTTAGTATTCCGGATTTTAGAGATTCCCCATTTTAGTATTCCGGGTTTTAGAGATTCTGGCTTTTAGTATTCCGGGTTTTAGAGATTCTGGCTTTTAGTATTCCGGGTTTTAGAGATTCCGGCTTTTAGTATTCCGGGTTTTAGAGATTCCCCATTTTAGTATTCCGGGTTTTAGAGATTCCGGCTTTTAGTATTCCGGGTTTTAGAGATTCCCCATTTTAGTATTCCGGGTTTTAGAGATTCCGGCTTTTAGTATTCCGGGTTTTAGAGATTCCCCATTTTAGTATTCCGGGTTTTAGAGATTCCCGCTTTTAGTATTCCGGGTTTTAGAGATTCCCCATTTTAGTATTCCGGGTTTTAGAGATTCCGGCATTTTAGTATTCCGGGTTTTAGAGATTCCCCATTTTAGTATTCCGGGTTTTAGAGATTCCCCATTTTAGTATTCCGGGTTTTAGAGATTCCGGCTTTTAGTATTCCGGGTTTTAGAGATTCCCCATTTTAGTATTCCGGGTTTTAGAGATTCCCCATTTTAGTATTCCGGGTTTTAGAGATTCTGGCTTTTAGTATTCCAGGTTTTAGAGATTCCTGCTTTTAGTATTCCGGGTTTTAGAGATTCCCCATTTTAGTATTCCTGGTTTTAGAGATTCCGGCTTTTAGTATTCCGGGTTTTAGAGATTCCCCATTTTAGTATTCCTGGTTTTAGAGATTCCGGATTTTAGTATTCCGGGTTTTAGAGATTCCCCATTTTAGTATTCCGGGTTTTAGAGATTCCCCATTTTAGTATTCCGGGTTTTAGAGATTCCCCATTTTAGTATTCCGGGTTTTAGAGATTCCCCATTTTAGTATTCCGGGTTTTAGAGATTCCGGCTTTTAGTATTCCGGGTTTTAGAGATTCCCCATTTTAGTATTCCGGGTTTTAGAGATTCCGACTTTTAGTATTCCGGGTTTTAGAGATTCCCCATTTTAGTATTCCGGGTTTTAGAGATTCCGGCTTTTAGTATTCCGGGTTTTAGAGATTCCGGCTTTTAGTATTCCGGGTTTTAGAGATTCCGGCTTTTAGTATTCCGGGTTTTAGAGATTCCGGCTTTTAGTATTCCGGGTTTTAGAGATTCCCCATTTTTGTATTCCGGGTTTTAGAGATTCCGGCTTTTAGTATTCCGGGTTTTAGAGATTTCCCATTTTAGTATTGCGGGTTTTAGAGATTCCCCATTTTAGTATTCCGGGTTTTAGAGATTTCGGCTTTTATGATGCCGGATTTAAGAGATTCCCCATTTTAGTATTCCGGGTTTTAGAGATTCCGGCTTTTAGTATTCCGGGTTTTAGAGATTCCCCATTTTAGTATTCCGGGTTTTAGAGATTCCCCATTTTAGTATTCCGGATTTTAGCATTCCCCATTCCCCATTCCCCGTTCCCCGATTCCTTTCCCCGATTCCCCATTCCTTGTTATAGTAGTAGCCCTAGTGGAATACGTAGCAAGTTTCATACGAATACGACAAATAAAGCCAAAGATATAACGAGCAATATCCAAAAGTTCAGCTTCGCAGCATGTGACACAACAATAATGTACACAATACGATAAGACGATCCAAAATAACTTTACACCACAAT